AAATGTATTAACCATTAAATATTAACTATGCTTATGCATATTCAAAAATACTAAAGCAATGCAGTATATCTTATTTCAAAGTGCACAAGTGTTTAAGAATTTCTCTGTACATGTATAAGAATTAAGTAAATATGTGTGACAATATTTATCACCCAGTATGTATTTTTTCAAGAAAAGACATGGAATAAAAAAGTACACGTATTGAGATTTAAAAATATACCTTTTCAGGATTAATACTGCACATCATTATTAAACACTGTTGGTAATTCTCACAGTCACCACTTATGTCCCAGCCTGCAAGTTATGTAATTGTATAATGTAAAATGTTATTTTAGATTGTTCCATTGAAAACACAACACATACATGTAAATATAACAAATGATTATGATGACCCTGTTCAGCTGTACAAAACTACTGATTGTACCATTTAGTCCTATTTAATCAAATTGATTTAATTTGTTTTATTTGTAGGAAATGAAAAAGATCTACTAACAATTGTCATTTTAACAATATACATTATAAAGAAATCATTGAATAATTTATATTTTACATATTATACATGTATAGATTAAAAACAATTATCAGAAAAAACAAATGCATGAAGTTGAAAATATAAAAACAACCTTGATCTTGTGTTACAAATGTTGATAGTTTGATATATAACCTGTTTCTGCATTGATGTAACTTAAGGTTTATAAATACCTGATTCTGTTCTATATCTCTTTGTCCCAGGTGATTCTAATTGTTATCATACCAATACATGTACTTAAACACTTTAAAGTCTTAAACAAAACAATATCTCCAAAACTGCTAAAATATCAAGTACATCCTCTGTAATTTGCACTCTTTCTGACCCAGATATCTTAGAATTCAAAATTTACAACAGTTACTGGACAGGTCTATCATTATGTAAAGCAGGGTTAATCTGCTCATCATTTTAACTTTTATTCTTTGAGCGTAAAAGAAAATATCAAATAGCTAATAGATATATAGATTTTAAAGATCATTACAAATTTTTGTACAAAAAAGATTGCAATGTCCTTCTAGACACATTCTTCATATGAAATTTATAATGTTATCTCTCCCCAAAATAATCACATGGAACAGCCTGATCTGAAATGACCAGTGGAGTAAATTAGTCATGCACAGATGGTTAGAAAATGCTGGTCAATGAGTTTTATCAGAGCTCTGATCTGTGTAGCGTAAAATCTCAGTGGATGTAGTATTTATTTTCCTAAATACATTGTATTGGTCAATTTAATATAGAATATATATGAGATTCTTTCATGCACTGTTATTGTTTTGTTTATTTATTTATTGTTATCCAAAAACATGAATTCTTACAATTTAAAAATGGCAAGCAATGCAATCCCATCTTGATTATTATAGTGTCTGAATGATTTAATCACAGACTTTAATTAATTTATAGTTAAACTTAAAGCCTGTAATTAAATGGATATTATTTCATTGTACATAACTTCATGTAGATTTATTTAAATAATAATATGTATTTTGAACAATCAATTCATGAATTTTATGTCTTTAGCATTATAAGACATTTTTTCTGAGATACCCTTTTCCAACTACATAAAAAGTATAAAGTGTCAAATTTCAAATCATTTACAGTAACTTGCATTAAAATAAATGATGATTGTATATTTTCTTCGTAAATTTACAATATTGTGCTGAATATATAAAGTAAGATTTCTTATAATTTTTACAAGTTTTTTCCAGCATACTTAGAGAAAGTTTAACTCATTTCCAGCATCAAAAAAATCTAAGTTCCACTTTCCATGCTACATGGAAGTAAAGTCCATGGTTTTCCAGGCTTTTACCACAAATGTCCAGCCAATTTCCAGCCTATTTCAGCAATGCTGGAAATGGCTGGACAAAAAAAGTCCACATAGCATGGAAAAAATACCAATTTTCCATGAATTTCCATGAAATTCCATGCTTTTCCATAGTTTTCCAGGGTTTACCCTGGAAAATCTACACCCGGGACAGGAGACCTCAATTTAATGTCTCAGAAAGGTGCAGTATTATTGTCTTCACATATCTCTGCAGACGAATATTGCACCTTTGGTTTTCCTATATTAATGTTATGCTGTTAAAATATAATGATAATTTTTGGAATCTTTGCAGTTCTAGTATAATTTATGAATTTATGATATCAAAAAAATTATACATATTTATGATTTACTTTAGTTTGTAAAGCAGACCCTCGGCTAGCTGACTGTAACACAAAACAATGTAGCAATAAAATAAACAAATTAATTCATATTGAAAAACAATGCATCATAATAAACAAACAATTGTTAATCAATGCTTTAATGAAAGTAAACAAAATAAATCATATAATGTTAAATCATATTAATATCTATTATAAAATAGATACCAATTGGGTTGTTGTAGAATCATGGATTGGTGCAGTAATAAAACACAAATGCTGAGCCTGAGTAATTGATTACGAAGCTTGTATTTTTAGCTCACCTGACTACGAAGTGGTCAAGGTGAGGTATAATGATGGGACTATGTCCTGCGTCGTGCCTGGTCAATATTTGGGTTGTTAACACTCAAGCAGTCACAGTTTTAATATGATTATAATCAAACTTTGTCAGAATGTTTGTCTCAATTAAATACAGGTTAAGTTTGAAGATGGATCATCTTGGGTCAAAAACAAGGTCACAAGAGCTAAAAATAGAAAAAGCTTGTTAACACTCTATTTGCTACAGTTTTGATCCAAATATTCTTGAAATTTGTCAGGAAGGTTGTTTTGATGATTTCTAGGTAAATTTCGAATATGGGTCATCTCTGGTTAAAAACTAGGTCACAGGAGCTAAAAATAGAAAAATCTCGTTAACACTCTAGTGGCTGCAGTTTCAATCAAAATATTTTGGAAAGTCAGGAAGGTTGTTTTGAAGATTTCTAGGACAAGTTTCAATATGGATCGTGTCCGGTCAAAAACTAGGTCACACGGCTAAAATAGAAAAATCTTGTTAACACTAGTGGCTGCAGTTTTGATCCAAGTATCCTGGAAATTGGTCAAGAAGGTTGCTTTGATGATTTCTTGGTCAAGTTTGAATATGGGTAATCTCCAGTAAAAAACTGGTTCACAGGAGCTAAAATAGAAAAATCTTGTTAACACTCTAGTGGCTGCAGTTTTGATTCAAATATTTGGGAAATTTGTTAGAAAAAGTGTTTGTATGATTTCTGGGTCAAGTTTGAATATGGGTTGTCTCCGGTCAAAAACTAGGTCACAGGGTCTTAAAATAGAAAAATCTTATTAACACTCTAGTGGCTGCAGTTTTGAATAAAATATCCTGGAAATTGATCAGGAAGGTTGTTTTGATGATTTCTAGGTCAAGTTTGAATATGGGTCATCTCTGGTCAAAAACTAGGTCACAGAAGCTAAAAATAGAAAAAATCTTTTTTAACACTCTTGTGGCTACTGCTTTGATCCAAAATATCATGGAAATTGATCTGAAGCTTCTTTGAATGATTTCTAGGTCAAGTTTGATTATGGATCACCTGGGGTCAAAAACTAGGTCACAATGCCCAAATATGGAAAAACCTTGTTAATACTCTTATGGTAACATTTTTGACTCAATTCTCATCAAACTGGGTCAGGATATTTTTCTAGTTAATTGCATGGAGAAGTTTGAATATGGGTATCTCTGATGAAAAACTAGGTCACAGGAGCTTAAAATAGAAAATCTTGTGAACTTTCTAGTGGCTACTGTTGTAATTCAGATATCCTGGAAATTGGTCTGCAAGTATGTTTTGATGATTTGTAGGTGAAGTTTGAATATGTGTCACCTGGGGTCAAAAGCTAGGTCACACTGGTCAAATATGAAAAAACCTTGTTAACACACTAGAGGACACATTTTTGACTCAATTGTCATCAAACTTTGTCAGGATGCTTGTCTTAGACATTGCTCGGATGTGGTTGATGGGTCAGGGGCGTGATCTAGGGCCATCTTGGTCCTCTTGTTATGTACCACAACACAAACAACAAAAATGAATTTCTTTGTTAGAACGGGAAATGATCAAAATATGTTGAACCTCATTGAGCGGAGAAGTATAGTATACATGACGTTTATGATGTTGATAATATAATAATTATTCTAACATGACCCACATTTTTCCCTATTGAACATAGAAGAAACGAAAGTGTGTGTCATTATGCAACAGAGTCACAGTTTGACGTTCTATATTTAGACATGTGACGTAAACATTATACACGCGACGTAACCACCAAAAATCCAACGCGCTGAAAATAAGTACAGAAACAAATCAGGCGCAATTTTGCTTAATATCAGGTACGGCAGCATTTATTTGTTGATGTCGTGTTGGAATCGAAATAATATATCCAAAGCAGTGATTTTATCCCTTGATAACATCACTGTTTGTCGTTCAGAATGATGCGCTCGTGATATAATTCCTCGCATCCGAACTCCAAACAGTGATGTTATTGAGCAATAAAATCACTGTTTGGGATATATTATTTCTTAAATAAATTGTTTCATACAGTTTGTTTGCATTTAAAATTATTTCTCTGTAATTTTGCTCAGTATAATTATTTTTTAAATGTACATTTAATTTTTACATTGTAATGTTATGCGTGTCCTTCAAAATCTGAACATGTATATTTATAACACTTGACTGCCCTATGTCTGGTTAAATTATGGGTGTGTAAGAATAATTATTAGAAACAGAATCATTCATAATTGTTCAACAGACCAAACAAAATATCTTGGTGACATTATTCTAATTCAATCAAATTGCTTCATATTTAAATATTCAAAAAAACTCATAACTCACTAGTTCAACAGTTTATCATAATGGTAATTTAATAAGAAAATAATAATTCCAAATAAGAGGTAATTAAAGCTATATTGAATATTTAACAAATAAATTTTATAATTAAAGTAATGAAGTAACTTGCGAAATATTTTCAAAATCTCCAAAATGTGATAAGATGGTAAATGTTTCATCATGAGAAAATTAAACGGTGTTTGCATGGGAATGTATGTATATAACTGTGGTTGTACAGTTTACTATATGTACCATCTTTAAATAATTTTATCAAGATGTCTGTGTAACGAATACTTAAACGTACATCATAAAACTTTTGTTTAACAGAAATAAGGAAAATGAATGGTACGTCTTTTGATAACTTTCTGTTTCTTAAGTTTCATTTGTAATTATGTATTTTGTTGTATATAATTTAATTATCTAATGATATTTCTCACCAATTCTTGCTATTTTATTCAATTGTTAATTGTTTGAGTCGCTGGATAGATTAATTACTCTTAGTGTTAATTATCTGCATTATTTATATATGTACAATAATATAATATTTTTATTCCTTTATTTTATATTTTTCTTACATTGCCGTTTATAACGTCTTGAAATATTGTGAATGGAAATCTATTATGTGTCTATAGTCTTATATCATTTCTCACAATCAAACTTAAATAACTGACTGTATAAATTAAAAAAAAATCTGCCCACTTAGCTCAATATAGAGAGCATGGGATTTGTGATCCAGTCTAAGGTTGCTCCGGTTAGATCATTGGGCTAGGCAAAATATCTCCGTGATAATTGATCTCTGCCATCACATTTTACAATCATTTCACTCTTAGTTTTGATTTAGAAATTTAGTAATCATGTGAGATTAAAAAGTCCTTTGCTTGAGTTACTGATTAATCATCGAGTAATTTTGCCAGGTAGTTGGACCCACCATGGAGATATACATGGCCAAAAATGAGTTAAAATCTACACCCAACAAAGTATAAACTAAACAGTTCAGTATAATTTCTTGAGTTTTGGGTGACAATATTTCAGTGCACATTTTACTTTATGACCAAGTGTATTTCTGATGATTATAAAAATGAATATAACCTTTTCACTAGCATTCATAAGTACATGTAGGTTTGCTGTTTAGAATTTATATTTTGATAATTTTCACTATATATAATTATCAAAATATAATTTCATTGCCTTATTATATATATTATTATTTTTTTTTTATTTCAATTTATTTACAAAATGCACAAGTCCCACAACAGCGGGAAACATCAGCAGTATATACATACATAAACACAATACAAATACATAATGGTAAACGGCTATATTACATTCTTAGGATAATAGTAATATATTAAGTTACAATTTGGTGAGAAGAAATATATATTAAGTTAACAAATTTAGTATGATAAATTGATCAAATAGAATGTTTACACCTTTCATAATAACCTGAACAATACGAAACAAAAGCATATCGTAAAAACAAACACGAAATATATCCAGGTTATAAACAGGTTCTAACAATTTAACATGAGTGTAGGACAAAAGCCCTCCCGGACAAAAACCCTCCCGTCAAAAAGTGACAAGGCGGACAAAAGCCCTCCCGTGAAAATGACAAGGCGGACAAAAGCCCTCCCGTGAAAATGACAAGGCGGACAAAAGCCCTCCCGTGAAAATGACAGGGCGGACAAAAGCCCTCCCCTAAAAATGACTTGGCGGACAAAATCCGTCCCGCAGCAAAAACATATCTGTACGTTAAATACTTTATATTGACTCAACATATTAAAATTGTAATCATGAATGTTTTTGTTTTCCATTGGCATAACCGTGTTTGTAAAAAAATATTGAGCTTGAGCACATTTAATTTGCTAGTGAATACTGCATTTGAATAATTAGTGCTAAAATCTGTAAGTGCATATTTATTCACGTAGATATGAAGGATTACTCCTATGTGATGTTAGTATTAATTGAGAAATAAATGATGAAAAGAAGTTAAAATTGTCTAACTAAAAAGTTATAGACATTTATAATGTGCCTTGTAATGAGTCAATTACTTTTAGAGGTGACTTTGATTTTAACGACATTTGTGTAAAAAGTTACCTCGTTACACATTTCAGGAAGGTATATTCAGAATAAAAGATGGTTCTAGCTCATACACATACCGGTTCTTAGGCCAATTGAAAACAACAAGAAATATATGTAACAATTTTAATATGTTGAGTGCAATGAAAAAACACAGGTATTCAACATACATATTTATTTTTGTTACGGGAGGGCTAATGTCCGCTTTGTTAATTTCACGGGAGGGCTTTTGTCCGCTCAGTCATTTTCACGGGAGGGCTTTTGTCCGCCCTGATATTCTAACGGGAGGGCTTTTGTCCGCCCTGTCATTTTCACAGGAGGGCTTTTGTCCGCCTTGTCATTTATTTCGACGGGAGGGCTTTTGTCCGGGAGGGCTTTTGTCAGTTTCCCATTTAACATTTATTTTAGTATCAATTGTTTGTAATAAAACAGAAAGTTTCATATTTGAATCTTATATTTGCATTAGAAAAAAAATAAAATGTGCGCAACGTACTTATAGCATAAAGATCGTAATTTAATACTTTTTGTAATAGTGTGAAATTATACATATAGCAGAGAAGACATAGTATTTCAAATATCTTAAGATATTCTACTTTTCAAATTTCAACAAAGGTGATTGATAACATGTTGCATAATTTCAACATTTTTATGAAAGAGAGAGAGACTTATATTAAGTACGTATAACAAAGAAACAAATTTTCTTTTACATAATTCAAATGTCAAAAAAATAAATATATTTATATGCTTTACTCAATATATAATGATTAAAAGCATGTATTAAAGGAACCAATCATAATAACATTGTTTTATACACCAAAGTAAAATTTCTAACAATTAATAGTTCAGTGTTTACCATTGTGAAACTCGTTAATTTTGATTTGTTTCATACTATTGTCTCTAAGGTCATGATATTGCATTTATAACAGAAAAGTCATTGACACCTGAGCTATAGGTATTATTATATATATCAAGCTTAGTAACACTGTCCATAGATTTGACACACCTATAAGTAATTATATAGATAATTAATGTACATGAACTCTCCTATTAATTATCATGGCTTACATGATTCTCTCACTAAAGGCAATGTCCTAGAAGTTTTAGTTTAGAGTTAGTTCAGTTTGTTCAATGATATTTTAAAGGGACTGTACTGAGTTTTTTTTAGGAATTAATTATAACATTTTATTCCAAATCCATATTGTGTGTATTCTGTCCTTCTTTTTTCGTTAAAAATTTAACATAACATATGATTTATAATGAAATACGTTGGAGAATGATTTAACATGCAATGTGTCACTATAAATTGTGGTCTTAAACTAAACTAAAACAAAAACTACAACAAATAAACAAATAAGCATATAATGTACCTTTCAAAGAGAGAAATTAATTTTCAAGTCATTTTAATTTCTTCCAAATGACAGAATTAGACATCTTGTCTTGTCATTTGATTGTAATTTTTTTTATGAAGTGAAATTTATCTTTGAAGTGTGTTTATTTTTCGGAACTGCCCTTTCCATTTCAGGATGTTGCATTCATAAAATGATGTATTCAAATTTAAATTTAGTAAACTCCTTTTATGATGAGCTTCTCATTATGATGACAAAAACACTTGAATGTTATACGAGTATTATAATATATTGACCATGTTTTAAACAATTAAAATATAACTCAATCTGTGGGTAACATGTGTTAACTATTGCTGAATAATTGTCTAAAAAATCATCTTAATTATATATTTAGTATATAATGAACTACTAAGGGTACACATTCCATAAGCATTTCAAATATTGATAAAAGCACTAGAAATGTATTATTATTGATATTCATTTAATAGATTGCTTGAAAAATATTTTTTTGAAAGAGTTCTTAGAGTGTTTTAGTATGAACATTTGTCTGATGAATAATGATATGTTGTTCTACAATATTTTATTATCTAGTATATTATATAGATTAAAGGAAATTTATGCAAATTTTGAAAATAAGGTCTGAATACTTAATTTGCTTAACAAAGTTTGAAAATCCAACCATTTGTCTTTCCTTGTGTTCAAGAATACAGGATACTTTAAAGAATGACTGTTTTTATTATGCACATATTTTTGTTACAGTTTATTTTTTATTAAGGAAAATTTAATGATTATCTTATGTATATAATATAAAGGTAATTAAGTTGTTTTATGAGATTCTTAGAACGACTAATTACCTTATTGATCAATGTTGTTACAGATGTCACACTCACTATACAGCACTGTACTGAGCTGTGTCATGACAAAACCAAACATAGTGGGTTTGCGACCAGCATGGATCCAAACCAGCCTGCTCGTCTGCGCAGTCTGATCAGGATCCATGCTGTTCGCTTAATACCAGCTCTATTACAAGTGGAGAAACTGACAGCGAACAGCATGGATCCTGATCAGACTGTGCGGATGCACAGGCTGGTCTGGATCCATGCTGGTCGCAAACGCATTATGTTGGTTTTGTCATGATGAGGCTAATTAATTCCAGATGTGACGTCACAAAGTGGACCTTAAAGCTGCACTATAAGTTTTTTTCTTGTATTTGTTTACTGTATGTCACTTATCAAATTGCTTTCTTCTATATTTATCCAGGTAAGGCGCAGGAGGAGGTTGACAAGCTATTGGAGAATCCTAAATCCAACGGGCAACCGAAGATTTTGATAGAGCGATCAGTCTTCACGGAGCAACAATTTGATGAGAATTATGAGGTTGTGACTCCTCGTTCTACAACACTCAGACACGTTGTCAACAAGCAACTGTCAAGATGTGTATGCTCAGGGTCATGTGTAAAGAACTTCCTGTTTGGAATGTTTCCATTTATAACCATCTTGAAGGACTACAGTTTAAAGGAAGATCTTCCCAGCGACATTGTGTCAGGGTTAACAGTGGGAATAATGCACATTCCCCAAGGTTTGTTTACATAATTTGATTATAAATTTTAGTTTTATGTGGTATGAATGCCTTGACTTAAAAGTGATAAGGGACAGGTGATCCAAAATCAGTATATGACTTTAACCCCTGACTTGTCATCAGAAGACCCTGAGCTTATTATTCAGGTGACTGATTTTGTATAAGCTTGAGCATTTCCCATTTGTTTTGCTCGTCTGTTTGGAACAAAAGTCAAGCTTTTATGATTGCTGTGTTGTCATCTTTGTAGTTGTTGTCTTAAAACCACTGTAAATATAGCCCATTATTCAAACATTCAAAATATTATCAAGATGAAACTTTGCATTCTTGCTTATCATGACAAGGTGCAATTATCAGACAAGGGCCATAATTCTGAAAGCAGTATTTTTGAAGTTAAAATTTTAAATAGACAAGCACAAGCTCTTGTAGTAATAAGTCTTTATGTTGTTATACAATGTATTATTACTCGGAGCTCTGTCTGGTGTCCAATTGATGAAGCATTCTTATTGCTCTAGTCTTAATTTCAGATTGCCAATGACTTGTTTATCATCTATAATGCATAATATTTGTTTCTCAGTTTCCTTGATTAAAAGTTGATCATGGTTATACAAATTTGTGACTTCTTGGTAACTATTCTTTTTATTAACAGGTATGGCTTATGGTATGTTGACAACATTGCCTCCAGTCTATGGGTTATACATGTCCTTCTTTCCGGTGCTTGTCTATTTTCTGTTTGGAACAAGCAAACATATTTCTATGGGTAAGTGAACTTTCTTGTATCATTTTTATTTCATATTCTATCTTTTAATAATGATAATGATTTTATCAAGGCAAACATTTGTGAGGCATAGTAAATTCTTTCAGCTGGCTTGTTTGTTTGTTTGCTTATTGCCTCATGGTATACTCTAGTAATTCAGTTTAGTGATTTAGTTGAGCTCTTGTTCTTTAATCTTTTGTATTTGTTTTGCATCTCTTACACTTTATCATTTAGGCACTTTACAACTTTGTTGAATCATGCTTGAATGCTTGACTGTGTTTTTCATTGGGACAGGTACATTCGCTGTTGCGTGCCTTATGATTGGTTCAGCTGTTTCCAAGGGTATGGATACTGTATCAATACCTACTTCATCAGTTGGACTGGTTACTGTTGTAGCAAATCAGACAGGGAATCAGACTAATGTAACATCCTCTGTAGCAGACGACAGTTCCGCCATGTCTCCTGAGGAAGTGAATCTCAGACTTCAGTTTGCCATGTCAACTACATTTCTAGTTGGAGTCATTCAGGTTGGTTAATAATATATTTTTTGGTTTGATTTTAAAGAAATAGTTTTTTTTATAAATATAAGAGAATGTTTGATTTTGCTGTTATATTGATTGTAGCCAGTTGCTTTTGGAAAGGAAAACGTTTTTTGATCTCTCCAAATAATTTGAGAAAACGAAAGAAAAACAACAAAAGTACATGATATTCTAAATTCCATTCATTCCATATTGCTTAAGTTGTCATGTTTTGTTATTTTTATCTGCTACTGAACAATATTTGAAAGCTTTCTGTTTGGATTGCTGGAAGAGAAATGTGGTTTTCTACATGAGTGGTTTTGCAGACAAATTAAAATCAATGTGCATTCAAGTTTGAGGAGGTTTTGTGAATACCCGGGTGTAAAAAGTCCATGCTTTTCCAGGGATTTCCATGGAAAATAAGAGGCTGGAGTATTGGAACAAAATTTTCCAGCCTTTTCCAGCCTGAAGCTGAGAAAAAATGGGCTGGAAAAAACATGGAACATTTTCCATGCTGCATGAAATATTTTCCATGTTTTCCATGGAAAAGCATGGACTTTATTCCATGCTTTTCCATGTACATGGAGTATTGGAACAAAAGTATGGATTTTTTTCCAGGGTATTCCATGTGTCTGCCAACCATAGAGGCTGGACTTTTTACCATGGTAAATTAAGTCCAGCCTTGATGGAATAACATGGAAAAAAATCCAGCCTAATTCCAGCATCCCTGAATGTTCTTAAAATGTAAAATTCTGAGATGGAATTTAGCAGTGGAATTTTTATGAGTTTAACATGATCACATATTTCATTTACAAAATTTAATACATATCCTTTAGTCCAAATACAGAATAGAACAGGTAACACAAAAAGTTTTTTTCCAGCTGCAGGTTTGGTAGGTTCTGGTTTTTTTAGAATCCAACACTTTGTTTTTAGCATTTATTTTGCTCTTCGTCTGTCAGTGAGAAACTGTTTCAATCTTAAATTTGTTTCTGATTATTTAAATTACTATTTCTTTTATCGAAGTCCATTTTAAGTCCTCTGCCTGTGTTTCCTAGAACTTCTTGTGGTTGTGCTCACCTTTAAAGATAAAATTCATGATTAATTAAACACAGATGCGGTGATGAATTATGTTTTTTTGCATATATGCAGTTATATTTCATATCTTTTAATAACATCAAATCTAATGTTTTAACAGTATTAACTATTAAATATTAACTATGCTTATGCATATTCAAAAATACTAAAGCATTATGCAGTATATCTTATTTCAAAGTGCACAAGTGTTTAAGAATTTCTCTGTATAAGAATTAAGTAAATTTGTGACATTATTTATTACCCAGTATGTATTTTTTCAAGAAAAGACATGGAATAAAAAAGTATTGAGATTAAAAAATATACCTTTTCAGGATTAATACTGCACATCATTATTAAACACTGCTGGTAATTCTCACAGTCAGCACTAATGTCCCAGCCTGCAAATGTATAATGTAAAATGTAATTTTAGATTGTTCCATTGAAAACACAACACATACATGTAAAATAACAAATGGTTATGATGACCCTGTTCAGCTGTACAAAACTACTGATTGTACCATTTAGTCCTATTTAAGCAAATTGATTTAATTTGTTAAATTTGCAGGAAATGAAAAAGATCTACTAACATGTCATTTAAACAATATACACAATCATTATAAAGAAATCATTGAAAATTTATATTTTACAGATTATACATGTATAGATTAAAAACAATTATCAGAAAAACAAATGCATGAAGTTGAAAATATAAAAACAACCTTGATCTCTTGTTACAAATGTTAATAGTTTGACATATAGCCTGTTTCTGCATTAATGTAACTTAAGGTTTATAAATACCTGATTCTGTTGTATATCTCCTTGTCCCAGGTGATTCTGATTGTTATCCTACCAATACATAAATACTTTAAAATCTTAAACAAAACTGCTAAAATAGCAAGTACATCCTCTGCACTCTTTGCTGACCCAGATATCTTAGAATTCAAAATTTACAACAGTTACTGGACAGGTCTATCATTATGTAAAGCAGGGTTAATCTACTCATCATTTTAACTTTTATTCTTTGAGCGTAAAAGAAAATATCAAATAGCTAATAGATATATAGATTTTAAAGATCATTACAAATTTTTGTACTAAAAGATTGCAATGTCCTTCTAGACACATTCTGCATATGAAATTTATAATGCTATCTCTCCCCAAAATAATCACATGGAACAGCCTGATCTGTCGGAATGACCAGTGGAGTAAATTAGTCATACACAGATGGTAGGAAAATGCTGGTCAATGAGTTTTATAAGAGCTCTGATCTGTGTAGCGTAAAATCTCAGTGGATGTAGTATTTATTTTTCTAAATAAAAGCAATATATATTGATCAATTTAATATAGAATATATATGAGATTCTTTCATGCAGTGTTTTTGTTTTGTTTATTTATTGATTGTTATCCAAAAACATGAATTCTTAGAATTTAAAAAATGGCAAGCAATGCAATCCCATCTTGATTATTATAGTGTCTGAATGATTGAATCACAGACTTTAATTAATTTATAGTTAAACTAAAAGCCGGTAATTAAATGGATATTATATCATTGTACATAACTTCATGTAGATTTATTTAAATAATAACATGTATTTAACAATCAATTCATTTATGTCTTTAGCATAGACATTTTTTCTGATATACCCTTTTCCAACTACATGAAATGTATAAAGTGTCAAATTTCAAATCATTTACAGTAACTTGTATTAAAATAAATGATGATTTTATATTTTCTTCGTATATTTACAATATTGGGCTGAATATATAAAGTAAGATTTCTTGTTGTAATTTTTACAAGTTTTTTCCAGCATACTTAGAGAAAGTTTAACACATTTCCAGCATCAAAAAAATCTAAGTTCCACTTTCCATGCTACATGGAAGTAAAGTCCATGGTTTTCCAGTCTTTTACCACTAATGTCCATCTAATTTCCAGCCTATTCCAGCAATGCTGGAAATGGCTGGACAAAAAAAGTCCATATAGCATGGAAAAAATACCAATTTTCCATGAATTTCCATGGAATTCCATGCTTTTCCATAGTTTTCCAGGGTTACCAGCCTCTCTTCCAGGCTTACCCTGGAAAATCTACACCCGGGTAATGCCTTTCAGATGGAGAGGAAATTTCTTGTATTTTACATCTTTCTAAAGCAATTTTGTTATGGTATGTGTTAGACTAACTCGGGGGTATATTCAGTGAAAGCTTTGTGGGTGTTATGAAGATTTATTTGTTTCAAAATTCAGAAATTTGTATTTTGATAGGGCAGATCTTTACTTCTGGGTAAGGTAGTGACAAATTTGCATCGGAAATCAAAAATTCATTATTGAACTTAAATGTCCCTTTCCCTAATCCCAGTTAAAAGATAAAACATTAATGCTTGAATTTCCAAATGAGCAACCAACATAATGGGTTTGCCACCAGCATGGATCCAGACCAGCCTGCGCATCCTCACAGTCTGATCAGGATCCATGCTGTTCGCTTACTGATAGCGAACAGCATGGATCCTGATCAGACTGCGTAGGTTTTGTCGTGACACGGCTCAAATGTGTATTTAAAACAAAAAATGGTTGAATTTCCAAAGGTGTAAGTAATATGTGCCTGAAAGTTGAAACTTTAGGTAAGCCAGGGTCAAGGTCTTAATTCCATGTGAAAAATGCAGCCTTTATCCTGAGATGTTTGGGTCAAGTTTCATTGTTATAGTTCACAGACTGAAGATTTAAGTTTTCAAGGTTAATTTTTTTTGTAGACAAAAACAATATCACTTTACCTCATGTACTCTCCTACCTTTGATATGTAAATAAATATGGCAACAAGAAAACACAGGTCATCTCTACTTTGTAACACTGTGTACCTGAAATGATGTACAAAAAGGCACTCTTGGTCTTCTTTAAGCAGAAGTATTCGCGTTACATGATATATAATGATGTACAAAAATGCACTCTTGGTCTTCTTTAAGCAGAAGTTTTCACGTTACATGATATATAATAATGTACAAAAAGGCACTCTTGATCTTCTTTTAGCTAAAGGGAAAGAATGTGGATGTATAAGCCTATTTCAATGTTAGTATTTCTTGAATAACAACATGATTGATCAGACCGGCCATATAAAACATATTAAGATGTTGTTCTTATTTATATATAAAAAGTAAGGGCAGTAAATAATAGGGCAAACACTTGTTCAGACACTTGCTCAGTTTAATCATTGGTAAGTATTACAACATAAACATGATTAAGTTTAGTGTCAGCAAAAGCCACCATGAGTTATATAACAGTTAAGTACTTGTCACAGAGATGTCACATACCAGTGTTTCAGGTGAAATACAACTGATGTGAAAAAGTGTAATTAGTAAACAGTTTAATTTTAGACATAAGAGAAAAAGTTTGACATAATGATGTCAGAATATCACTTCATCAGCATAAATACCATTATTATAATAATCAAGTGTGAGAATATTTGTTTCCTATGCAACATTATCTTAATATTAGATTGTTTCACTTTTTGGTCTAAACTTTATATTAACTGGTATATTCATTGATATTCTAGAAGAAATATACCCAACTCTTTAAACCTGCTTAAATTTTGTAACAAATCTGCCATGCTTTGAATTAATCTGGACTGGGCAATTCATAGTTTAAAGGATTTCAATATCAGTTATATACATAACTTGAGCAACCATCAGCAAAGAACATGGTAGATCTGCACAACAATGTAGGCTGGGCTCTATAATTGGTGGCAAAGACTGATCATTTTTGTTTGCAGCAGAGTATGAACAGTTGAAATCTAGGGGCATCCGTGGCCAAGTGGTTAAGGTCGTTGACTTCAAACCACTTGCCCCTCACCGCTGTGGGTTCGAATCCTGACAGGGACTTAAGGATTCTTTCATGTGAGGAAGCTATCCAACTAACTTACGGAACGTCGGTGGTTCTACTCGGGTGCCCGTTCACGCCTGAAATAATGAAAGGAAGGGCACCTGAGGTCTTCCTCCACCAGTAAAGCTAGAACGTCGCCAAATGAACTATACTGTGTCGGTGTGACGTAAAACCCAAAACAATCAATCAGTTGAAATCTTGCTGAAGTGCTGAATGGGATTTGTCCATTTTCCAATTTAAGACAATTCCATTATGTCAATTTTAAGGGTATCATGAAGACAATTTTGAATTGTTAATCAGCTTGCAATTTATAGACCCTTCAAGAAAGGGAGCGGTGGCCTAGTGGTTAAGGTGTCTGCCTTTCAACTCAGAGATCACGGGTTCGAGTCCTAATCAGGTCACAACCATGTTTTTTCACATGACAACAGCACAGATTGGTTCCAGGAGGCGGACTCAAAAGTGATTAATATAAATTAAAAGAACTAGTTTCACAATTTACCTTAAATTAATATGTTTTAATCAATTTATAGAGACTTATAAGTCTGAATGGATGTACACGTTGGACTGGTTTTATATTGGTGGCAAAGTCTGTGTTATTTAAAAGGTTTAGCCTTGTTATGGTCAATGATCATGATAAAATAAAGAAATATTTGGTGATTTACAGATATTGCATGAAAGATATACATGTTTAAAGAATAGAAAATTCTAAAAAGAAAATTGGATTTAAACATAAGTACATATGTAAAAAAAGCCTAAAAAGCTATTAGTTTTTTGTGTGCGGTCTTTTAATATATTTTGTGTTTTACATGGCCAGATGTCAGGACAGATTTCCCCTTTATTCTGTTACGAAGACAGTTTTCTTTAATCTGATATGATAAGATAAACATCTTTATTTCCTGCAATTAATGCAAATGAATGTCACTTTAATTTACAGGATATGTATCATTGTTAAGTGAATTCTGTCTGTGTTTTTGTTGCTATGATGTATTTCAGGTTATAATGTTACGAGAATAACAAGAAGAATTTTATGAATCTATTTACATTCTAAAATTTCTGGGTTAGCTTTAAGTGTGTGACAGTGGTGGTGGTATAATTATCATTTATAAATTAGAGGACACCTGTCTATAGTCAGTATTCTTTGTTTAGCACTCTTGCTTTAATTCTTCAAATGAATACCAACTTCTCCACTTGATCACTTGGTGTGTTGGTGGTGAGAAGTTTTTACAAGTACCATCATACTAAATACCAGTGTATTGAAGGAGATTAGAAATTAAAAATTTCACTTTGTTCTTGAGGGCTGTTTCCTTGAATGCAATAAGTAGTCAATTATATATATATTGTTTAATATTTTCAGTTTTTTATGGGTGTTTTCCGACTTGGTTTTATCACAGTCTACCTCTCAGATCCACTAATAAGTGGCTTCACAACTGGAGCAGCTTGTCATGTCTTCACAAGTCAAATCAAACATGTGTTTGGTGTTCAAACTGAGAGATACAGTGGTGTGTTTAAACTTGTATATGTAAGTATGTTACTGAATGAGTGATACAGTGGTGTGTTTAAACTTGTATATGTAAGTATATTACTGAATGAGAGATACAGTGGTGTGTTTAAACTTGTATATGTAAGTATATTACTGAATGAGAGATACAGTGGTGTGTTTAAACTTGTATATGTAAGTATATTACAAACTGAGAGATACAGTAGTGTGTTAAAACTTGTATATGTAAGTATATTACTGAATAAGAGATACATTTGTGTGTTTAAACTTGTATATGTAAGTATATTACAAACTGAGAGATACAGTAGTGTGTTTAAACTTGTATATGTAAGTATATTACTGAATGAGAGATACATTAGAGTGTTTAAACTTGTATATGTAAGTATATTACTGAATGAGAGATACATTGGAGCGTTTAAACTTGTATATGTAAGTATATTACTGAATGAGAGATACAGTTGTGTGTTTAAACTTGTATATATAAGTATATTGCTGAATGAGAGATACAGTGGTGTGTTTAAACTTGTATATGTAAGTATATTACTGAATGAGAGATACAGTGGTGTGTTTAAACTTGTATATGTAAGTATATTACTGAATGAGAGATACAGTGGTGTGTTTAAACTTGTATATGTAAGTATATTACTGAATGAGTGATACAGTTGTGTGTTTAAACTTGTATATATAAGTATATTACTGAATGAGAGATACAGTGGTGTGTTTAAACTTGTATATGTAAGTATATTACTGAATGAGAGATACAGTAGTGTGTTTAAACTTGTATATGTAAGTATATTACTGATTGAGAGATACAGTAGGGTGTTTAAAATTTATATGTAAGTATATTACAGACTGAGAGAAACAGTAGTGTGTTTAAACTTGTCTATGTAAGTATATTACTGAATGAGAGATACTGTAGTGTGTTTAAACTTGTAAATGTAAGTATATTACTGAATGAGAGATACAGTAGTGTGTTTAAACTTGTATATGTAAGTATATTTCTGAATGAGAGATACAGTAGTGTGTTTTAAATTTATATATAAGTATATTACTGAATGAGTGATACAGTGGTGTGTTTAAACTTGTATATGTAAGTATAGTACTGAATGAGTGATACAGTGGTGTGTTTAAACTTGTATATCTAAGTTTATTACTGAATGAGAGATACAGTGGTGTGTTTAAACTTGTAAATGTAAGTATATTACTGAATGAGAGATACAGTAGTGTGTTTAAACTTGTATATGTAAGTTTATTAATGAATGAGAGATACAGTGGTGTGTTTTAAACTTGTATATGTAAGTATTATTACTGAATGAGTGATACAGTGGTGTGTTAAAACTTGTATATGTAAGTATATTACTGAATGAGAGATACAGTGGTGTGTTTAAACTTGTATATGTAAGTTTATTAATGAATGAGAGATACAGTGGTGTGTTAAAACTTGTATATGTAAGTATATTACTGAATGAGAGATACAGTGGTGTGTTTAAACTTGTATATGTAAGTATATTACTGAATGAGTGATACAGTGGTGTGTTAAAACTTGTATATGTAAGTATTTTACTGAATGAGAGATAGAGTGATGTGTTTAAACTTGTATATGTAAGTTTATTAATGAATGAGAGATACAGCGGTGTGTTTAAACTTGTATATGTAAGTATATTACTGAATGAGTGATACAGCGGTGTGTTAAAACTTGAATATGTAAGTATATTACTGAATGAGAGATAGAGCGGTGTGTTTAAACTTGTATATGTAAGTTTATTACTGAATGAGAGATACAGCGGTGTGTTTAAACTTGTATATGTAAGTATATTACTGAATGAGAGATACAGTGGTGTATTTAAACTTGTATATGTAAGTATGTTAATGAATGAGTGATACAGTGGTGTGTTTAAACTTGTATATGTAAGTATAGTACTGAATGAGTGATACAGTGGTGTGTTTAAACTTGTATATGTAAGTATATTACTGAATGAGTGATACAGTGGTGTGTTTAAACTTGTATATGTAAGTATATTACAAACTGAGAGATACAGTAGTGTGTTTAAACTTGTATATGTAAGTATATTACTGAATGAGAGATACAGTAGTGTGTTTAAACTTGTATATGTAAGTATATTACTGAATGAGAGATACAGTGGTGTGTTTAAACTTGTATATGTAAGTATATTACTGAATGAGAGATACAGTGGTGTGTTTAAACTTGTATATGTAAGTATATTACTGAATGAGAGATACAGTGGTGTGTTTAAACTTGTATATGTAAGTATATTACTGAATGAGAGATACAGTAGTGTGTTTAAACTTGTATATGTAAGTATATTACTGAATGATTGATACAGTAGGGTGTTTAAAATTTATGTGTAAGTATATTACAGACTGAGAGAAACAGTAGTGTGTTTAAACTTGTCTATGCAAGAATATTATGAAATGAGTGATACAGTTGTGTATGTATGTTAAGACTGAAAGAATCACATAATATTATATGGTATTTATCTTGAACTTGTTTTTCTAGTTTTTATTAAAACATGTTTTTTGTGTAAAGTTACATTTATTTATGAACAAGTAGTCAACAGTTCATGTTTCACAGGCCTTGAAAAGTCAGAATAAACAGAATAAGAGATCAGTTTCAGATAAAGATACTGTTATTATAAAGTCACATACTGAAAGGAATACAATAAATATCTCACAAAATGTGAAGAAAAAAAGTGAAATTAAAAGTGGAATGATAGACTCTGTTAAGCAAAAACATGGTAATAAAAAAAAAACAGAAGATAGATCAGTTCTACTATTAAGTGTTATTATCTTGAGAAAGTAATCACAAACTTCCCAGCTGAGTACAAATTGAAAAAAGTCAGGGTTTTTATAGAAATTAATAAAATTCTTGTAAATTTTTTTTTCAAGATTTTTTTTTTAATTTCATTATGGAAAACAAAAAATATAACTTCATGCCACTTTAGATGATATTACTTTGGTTTGCTATAATAAATCAAGAGATGGAGACACAGCACTGTGGCTGAGTTTATAGTGGGATTGAAATACTAAACAAGATTATAAATTTCCACTTTATTAATTGCTTTTTTTAAGTATTATGGTATTTCTTTAATTACCTACCTTGTATTATGAACCTGTCCTGTTTTGAATTTTAAGCATTCCAGGTGAATATTTAAAAAAAACCTGTTAGTTAGTCCATCCGCTTTTCTTGTGCGGGGCATCAGCCGCATCACTTTGAAACAACAAGAGGTACCAACATAAAACTTTGTAGGTAGATAGATCTTATTGAGTAGGTGTGCAGTGCACAAGAACCGTAACTCTGCCTTGCCCAATTTTTGAATTATTGCCCTTTGTTTATTTTTACACTTTGAACTTTGTTTGGGACATAACTCTAAAACTATATAAGAGGTATTAACATGAAACTTTGTAGGTAGATAGATCTCATTGAGTAGGTTTGCATTGCATAAGAACCATAACTCTGCCTTGCCTAATACTTGAATTATTGCCCTTTGTTCATTTTTACTTTTTGAACTTTGTCCGGGACATTACTCTAAAATTGTAAGAGATATCAACATGAAACTTTGTAGGTAGATAGATCTCATTGAGTAGATTTGCAGTGCATAAGAACCATAACTCTGCCTTGCCTAATACTTGAATTATTGCCCTTTGTTCATTTTTACATTTTGAACTTTGTCCGGGACATTACTCTAAAATTGTAAGAGATATCAACATGAAACTTTGTAGGTAGATAGGTCTCATTGGGTAGAAGTGCAGTGCTAAAGAACCATAACTCTGCCTTGCCTTATTTTAAAGTTATTGCCCTTTGTTTATTTTTACTTTTTTGACTTTTGTCCAGAACATAACTCTAAAACTATTAGAGATATCAACATGAAACTTTGTAGGTAGATATATCTCATTAAATAGAACTACAATGCTAAAGAACCTAAACACAGCCTTGTCTAATTTTGGAGTTATTGCCCTTTGTTCATTTTTACACTTTGAATTTTACCTGGGACATTACTCTGAAACTATAAGCGATATCATCACATAACTTTATAGAGAGAGATAGATCTCATTAAATTGAAGTGCAGTGCAAAAAACTATAACTCTGCATTGCCTAATTTTAGCAGTTATTGCCCTTTGTTCATTTTTTTTTATACTTTCCTGTGTCCAAAACCTTCTCGGGGAGCATCACCCGATTCAACCGGTTCTTGTTTTTGTCATTATCAAAGACCCATAAATCTAGCATTGTTTTCACTGATTTTTTTCTGCTTTTGTGAACTGAAGTATTCTGGTGTTATGAAGGTTCAGATCAGATTTGGAGAATAGCAAAAACTGGTGCCATAGACTGGTTGATTTGTCCATTGATTTAGTTTGTAAAAGAATTAAATATGAAATTTATTACTTATTTTTCAGACATACAGAGATTTCTTTGCAAACATCGCATCAGCGAATTATGTAACAATTTTACTGTCTGTTGTGTGTATCTTAGTACTATATTGTACAGGCAGGTTTATCAACCAGAATCCGAAACTCAAAGCCAGGATGTTTATGCCAATACCTATTGAACTTATTGTAGTAAGTATACTATAGTCTGTGTACAGGAAATACTTGAATGTTATGTATATAGGTAAAGTACAACTTCTGCAGAAAGTCCCTCTGCCAAGCAATAACCTCTTACAACAGCAGTATCATTTTTTGCCAGCATAAGGCTTCACAATATTTGTAACCTCTGTTTTTACTGCAATGCTTTCCCGCCAAGAAATTTCTAACATCGGCCAATATCGTAATAAATCCAAAACGTTGCTTTTCACAATCTTTAGTATTCAATAAGCTTTTCACAATCTTTAGTATTCAATAATTGTTATCTGTTTATAACAAGAATTTAGTACATAGCGATAATGGATGAGTGACTGTAAATAATCTACTGCCCATGATTTTGAAGAAAAAATGTTCCGGAAATAAGCGATTTGCTACAATATTGACCGATGTTAGATATTTTTGGCGGGAAAGCATTACAGTAAGGCTACCTCTCACCAGCAACCAAAATCTCTGTCTCCCAGGATATTACTGTACAGAAGTTCTGTATTATATAACTGTATGTTTTATGTAGAGAAAAGTTAAAGTTGAACACTGAGAATCATTTGCTATTCTGGTTTAGAATATTAAATTTTGTGCAAAAATGCAACCAGCTATTTAAGGGATGATTGATGGTTCTACTTGCATACATGATTATTACTGAGATAATGGATTGTGGCTTTCATAAATGCTAGAAAGACACCTAATATTACTTTCTTAGTGTCCTTGTGGATGAAAATTATGGAATAATACTAACAGAGTTTATTGTATTTCCTTTTGCAGTATTTTATGTATTTTTTGGGTTGTAACATTTTCTGTGCATTTCAGGTTGTTTTGGGTACAGTGATTTCCTATGCAATTAATTTAGAAGAGAACCATGGGGTGGTTGTGGTCTCAGACATTCCAACAGGGTAAAACTATGTTTTATTTCATATCCATCATATTTAGACAAATTCTAGAATTAATGTTAAAATATTATTGTTAAAAATTTTTTTGGAATGTCCCAAAATATGTTTGCCAAAAAGGCATGCATGTTTGAATTTTGAAAGTAAAGTTCTATATAATGTAATAGGTTATATAGATATTTATTAAACAAAGAAGTTTTATTTAAAATTTAATACATCTTTCTTGTGTCAGCAAAATCAAATTTTAATACTCTTTTTTAAATATTTTTTAAAGGAAAAGGCAAAGGGAAAATTTCTTTTTAGTAATTGCTTAAAAGGTAAATATTTTTTTATTTTGAATAAAAAAGGTGCTTTTTTCAAGAAAAAATTAAAACCAGATTTTGGGATAACAACTTTAAATTCTATTTTTTTAATTATATTTCAAATTTTAATTTTTAAATTACTTTTTTTTAAAAAAACCCCTGAGCCAAATTTCTAAAGGGGCCTACGTCGCATTCCTGCCGTAATCTCAGATGCTATAGCATTAGCTATTGTCATATTTGCCATTAAGTGTAATATTATTCCCCACGATGGGGGAAAAAAAAACTGGACTTTGCCAGAAACCCCCTTGACTATGAAGTTCGGATGCTAACAGGTTTGTTTTCACCATGGTTTCCCCTGAATTAACTGGTAATATTTAAACCTGTTCAACAAGGAAATTAGTTAAAGCTTTAAAGTTTTACTTGAAATCTTTGTCAGTTCAGTCAAATGCTAATAGGATAAGCTATTAAAAATTTTTCCTTTAACTTATTTTATTTTTGGCAAATGGCTTAAAAAATGGGGTATTGTGTCACCAGGGTTTTTAATGATTAAACTAAAAAAGGGTTTAACCGCTGGGGGAAAGATTTTGGGTTTTTTTAAAAATTTTTAATTTTTAATTGGTTTTCTCCCCAAATTAATCCATATAAACCCCAAAGGCCATGAAAAACCAAAATTTAGCGTTTTTGCGACCAAAATGGATCCAGACCAGCCTGCGATTCGCGCAAATTTTTTCTGATAAAGGAAATCCATGCTGTTTTGCCTTAAAAACCCTTATAACAATTTAGAGAAACTGATAGGGGAAACAGCTTTAAAACCCTTTGATCAAATTTGGGGGGGAATCCGCGGGCTGGCTGGATCCATGCGGGTCTTTAAACCCCTTTAAAGGGTTTGGGTTTTTCTAAACGGGCTCATTATGTTTCAGGAAATGGGCTTTTGTAACAGGGAAAAAATGTTGTTTTAACAAGAAACCCAGCTTTGAGGTGGATGCTAATTCAATATGTTAAAAAATTATCTCAAATGAAGGGAGGAAAAAAGAACATATACTTAAAAGAATTGGTTAACAATTTACATTAGAAAGATCTTAAGTGACTAGATGAATGCATAAAGATAAAAAAAAAAAAAAAAAAAAAAAAAAAATGAAGATTATACAGACTTTATAAAACGAATGAGTTTTCTCAAGTATTTTATATAAAAGATAAGCATATAAAAAAAGATAAGGTTTTTTTTGTCATTTTTTGCAATGTCTTTAAAATTTATTTGCTAATGGCTCAATTAGTGTCACCAATTTTTTTCCTATAATGTTTTAGGAAATTGGATAGCCTTGTTGGTTTGTCCAACAGTTTTTTTTTCCTCTTTCCTTTGTGTCTGCTGCACCGTCTTGCTTCATTGTCCACGAAGTCTGGTACAAGAGAGAGTGGGAGGTAAAACCCAGGTTAGTAAAATACATATTTCTATGAAATAAATGACTTAAGAGCTAGATGGGATAGGTTTTATATTTAGTAGACAGCATTATCTGATGCTGTTATATTTTACCACTATATCTGCTTGCACTAATTTAACTTTGTAAATATAACTTTTACAATGTTTCATGATGTCTATAATGACTAGCTTATGCCATGGTGGTGTACTTTTGAAACTCTCTAACTATGGACTGTTCCAGCATGACAATTCCATATCACAAAGTTAGAAGATTTCAATATCATAATTAACTGTTGTTTACAAATGTCATAAATGATTGATAGTTCACCTTAATTTCTTTTGTATTCCCTCTTTTGTAGTTTATGATTAAAAACTACAAAAATGTATGGTCTTTCACTTCAGCTGATTCTGTAGTTAAATGTGATACAATAGAAAAAGCAAAGGTCTTTCACTTCAGCTGATTCTGTAGTTAAATGTGATACAATAGAAAAAGCAAAGATAGTTAGCAATAAAAAAAGCAAAATTGCCTTAGTGCAATAAGTGATTAACTGCTTTTAAATTTAGAAGGACTTTATCTGTTATTGCACTAAGACGACAAAATGTCTTTTATTGTATTTGAGATTTCTTAAGTCTTTAGCACACATTTAAATGTATATTATTTTATACATTTTTGTATATAATATTTTCAGATAGCAGGGCTGGTTTCTTGTTGTCTGCTGCTAGTGGTATTGCTGGCTATAGGACCTTACTTTAGAACATTACCCAATGTAAGTATGTCAGTCTTTACCCATTACGCGATATACACGCCTTTTAACGCCCTTTTAACCCCCACCCCCCCTTTTTTGTTGTCTCAAATGGTGAAAAAATGCCATATTCAGGCCCCCAACACTTGTTTTTGTTTGAGAAATGTTGTTAAAAAAAGTGACCACTTTTTCGGCGCGGCCCCCCAACCAAAAGATACATCAGGGGGGTGCCAGAAGGGGGATATCTCAATTTTTCACAAAATGCTCATGAAGTAATGGGTTAAGATGCTTTTCAAGTAAATGTATATTTAACCAGTGTTTATTTCATTATTTACTGAAAATAGATATGTATTGCAGCATCATTAAGATGTGTGTTGATCTATGAACCATATTGAGTTTGTTGTTAATAATGATGTCTTGGTGTCCATGGCTAAAGTGTCAGATTTAAAGGGGCACTTTTTTATTGAAAATTTTCCTTTGCCAAATAGTTTGGGTTTTATTCTTTTCCCCAGGTTTTGAAAAGTTAAAAAGGTAAAAAGCTTAAAAGTATACTTGGGAAAAATTAAATTTTACGTTTCCCCTTTAAACCCGGTTATTTTCAATTATTAAATTGGAAAAAATTTTTAATTTTTGTTAAACGTGAGATGTTTTAAATTTGTTTAAGGGAATAAGGGGGGAAATTTGGGTTTTATTTAATTTGAAAAGATTTGGGGGGTAAATTTTCATATTGAAAATACATCAAACAAAAAAATATAAAAATTTTTAAATTTTGGGTTTTAATATCAAAAACTTTTTTTTTCAGTGTTTATGGCCCCTACAGTTATTGTAGCTTTTAGATGGTTTATTTGCCCAGATTTTTACAGTGCCAGATCTCTGGTACAATCGTAGACCAGACTTTGTAAGATTTGCTGACATAACAAACACTGTTCCCAATACTATACATGTCTCACTGATTGGCTAACCATGTTTTAGTTCCTTATATACTAGTGTTACTAACAGTTAGATACGGCAAGAATATGTCTGTTTAAATATGTCTGTTTATTTGTTTCCTTTTCAAAAACATGTAGTCAATTTAGTTTGTTTTTTTATTTAGAAAAATGCAGTACTTTATCTGGTTATCTTTGTTTTTGAATTATTGTTTTAATTGCATGCTTACTTTTCATGTCCTGAAAGGAAACAAAGTAACAGACATAGATATACATTATGTAGGCCATTGCTAGTGTTTTCTTGAAAATGAAAAATATCTTTGATAACACTTCTTTTTCTTTGTAGTTGAAGTTTGTTGCTTTATGCAGTTCATCATCTTTCTTATTCTTTTTAATTTTAGTATACTTACTCTATGCTTTCTTTTTCATCTATCCTAATTGATAATAATATTTATTACAAAGGGAGACAATCAGATTATTATCTTTTTTCTGTCATATATAGGGTTTAGGCCCTTGTTGAAGATTATTTTATCTGAAGGTTGAAATAACATACTGTGATATTTAATTTGATACAAATTTAAATTTTATCAGTGTATAGAATAAATATTTTTGCTGTGTGAAATTATGGAAAGTTATAGTATTTGACAAACAAGAAAATTACATTCATTGTGGAAACACCATTATACTTTATTACTGTATACTTATATAATATTTGATAGACCTTAGAGGAGAGATTTCCTCTATGTATGGTTAAAATATTGTTGTTATTTCAACCTCATCTGAATATTCTAATATGTCTCATATCAACATGCTTCAACTTTTATCAGCCTACTTTATTTCTTCTGTTTTACTTTTGCTTTTATTTTTAGCTCACCTGAGCATATGCTCAGGGTGAGCTATTAGGATCACTCTTCGTCCGTCGTCTGTCGTACTTGGTCCGTCGTACTGTGTCCGTTGTCCGTTCACACTTTTCAAATGACATCTCCTCTGAAACCATGAGGCAGATCATAATGAAACTTCACAGTGATGTTCCTTGTGTGAAGCCTTAACAAAGTTGTTCAAAGAATTCCATTCCATGCAGAACTCTGGTTGCCATGGCAACCAAAAGAAAAAACTTTAAACATCTTCTTCTAAAAAACCCAAAGAGCTAGATCTTAGATATTTGGCATGAAACATCTTCTAGTGAGTGTCTACCAAGATTGTTCAAATAAAAGCCCTGGGGTCAAAATTGGCCCCGCCCCAGGGGGTCATTGATTTTCCCTATATGCATATAGTAAAAACTTAAAAAAATCTTCTTTTAAAGAACCCAAAGAGCTAGACCTAAGATATTAAGCATGAAACATCTTCTAATGAGTGTCTACCAAGATTGTTCAAAATAAAAGCCTGGGTCAAAATTGGCCCCGCCCCAGGGGGTCATTGATTTTCCCTATATGCATATAGTAAAAACTTAAAAAATCTTCTTCTAAAAAACCCAAAGAGCTAGAGCTTAGATATTTGGGCATGAAACATGTTCTAATGGATGTCTACCAAGATTGTTCAAATAAAAGCCCTGGGGTCAAAATTGGCCCGCCCCAGGGGGTTTATGATTTTCCCTATATGCATATAGTAAAAAAAAAAAAAAAATTCTCTTAATGAACCCAAAGAGCTAGAGCTAAGATATTTAGCATGAAACATCTTCTAATCAGTGTCTACCAAGTTTGTTCAAATAAAAGCCCTGGGGTCAAAATTGGCCCCGCCCCAGGGGGTCATTGATTTTCCCTATATGCATATAGTAAAAACTTTAAAAATCTTCTTCTAAAAAACCCAAAGAGCTAGAGCTTAGATATTTGGCATGAAACATCTTCTAATGGATGTCTACCAAGTTTATTCAAATAAAAGCCCTTGGGTCAAAATTGGCCCATCCCCAGGGGGTCATTGATTTTCCCTATATACATGTAGTAAAAACTTAAAAATCTTCTTTTAAAGAGCCCAAAGAGCTAGAGCTAAGATATTTAGCATGAAACATGTTCTAATGGGTGTCTACCAAGTTTGTTCAAATAAAAGCCCTTGGGTTAAAATTGGCCCTGCCAGGGGGAGGGGGGCAAAAGCCATTGTTTTTCATTATTTATGTATAGTAAAAACTTAACATCATGAAACATCTTCTAATGGGTGTCTTCCAAGTTTGTTCAAATAAAAGCCCTTTGGTTTAAACTGGCCCCGCCCAGGGGGCCTATGTACAGGTGAGCGACCCCAGGGCCATCATGGCCCTCTTGTTACATATTGGTCTTTTGTTTTTGCTAATATTATATGATATTTATCACATGCTAATGCCACTTTCATAACTCTGTGAAAAATAGTGTTATACATGTACATGAACATGTATTTTGATGAAACATAATTTGCGTTATACAAATATAGTGTCAAATCATTCTACTTTTATGTATGTGATAAATAGAATATTCGTGTAGCTTCATTTATACTAAGTTTATTGAACTGGTTAAATGAATTAAGTAACATTCTAACATGCTTCACATTATTCTGCTATTAAACAGTTAAGACTTTCACTTGTAATATTACACAATATATGCATAGCATAAAAATGAATGCTTACACGACATCAAAGAACCAAATGGGGTTAGGAAAATTACTTCTACCCTTTATATAGTTCAACATATTTTTATAAATATGGAATGGAAATAGATATTCATTTTTCTTGTGTTGAATTATATTAATGCACAGTTTACTGATCAAATTCTTCGTAATTTATCACCCAGGCCTATCTGCTTCCCTGAAAATAATTATTCCTGCACATTTGAACTCTCACCATGCAATTTTCAGCAACAAGGTTATGCAAACCTCTGGCTTCAAGTTGTTTAATAAACTCAGTATTGTACTTACACTCATTCAACTATCCTCTTCATATCTAACACACCTGTCATACATTCACAATTTCTGTTAGTATTTCTGGCATCACCATTAGTTATTATTGTAGTGAGGTGATGGTATAACCCTAGTTTAGCTAACATCTACATATGTTTACAGAGTGTGCTAGCCTCTATTATCATTGTTGCCCTACGAGGGATGTTCCTTCAAATCCTCGATCTTAAAAAACTCTGGCACGTATCACTCATAGACTTTGTAAGTGAATAAGATTTTTCTGTCTACATTCTTAATGTAATAACTAAAACTTGAATTTTAGGAAAAAGATCATATTATAATTATGATGTGGTACAGTAAATAAACATTGTGTAATGTTAAATATTTTTGTATAGCTAGTATACATTTGTCCTTCCATTTGAATTTTGTTAAAATTCTCCGAGCATATTTATCTCTTGTAAAGCGATTTCATCGGATGAAATTTTTTTTAAATTAGCTAATAAAGCAGGTGTTACTTAACTTAGTATATGTATAAAAAATTCATGACAGTTTCTTTACAACTAAATAAACATGGAAAATATTCTTTTATTTAATGAAAAAATGTCTTTCCATACTTCCAAATTTTAATTTTATGTTTTATAGAAATTTGTTACTCAATAAACAGTGTAAGCCAAACAATATTTTGACATATACCTTAGTTGTGTTTCTCTGGGCCTGTATCTGCTGTATGTGATATAAATATTTTATTCATTATATTTCACAGTTTGTATGGATAGTAGCATTTGTCGCTACAGTGTTACTGGATGTTGATCTTGGCCTTGGTGCTGCTGTCATCTTTAACATTATAACTGTTGTAGTGAGAAGTCAGAGGTTTGTATTTTCTCACTTATAACACACATTTTAGGACTTACCGGTAAGTTTGTCAAAGAATTTACAAGGGTCTTATATTGTAAGTATAATAAGATGATGACCTATAACAAGCCATAATAGACTTGTTTTCTCTCTGGTCTAGAAATGGGTCTAGGGATATCTTATTTTGTATGCCTGCTATGCTCAATTGCGCTTTGGATTTGTAATTCAGACGGCAGAGACTACTTGTTCAATATTGGGGTGATGAGGAATTTCATCATGACAGTTTGTCTCATACATTGGGTCTAATGGTTGTTTGTCTCTCATCTCTCACCACTGCTTCAGAAATCAGCTGGTAATAGTCAGTCAAATATTTACTGGTTTAAGGGATGCTCAGGCAAATTAACCTTTTCCCTTATATAAGCGTGTTTCGACGGCTTTTTGCCCCCCCCTTTTGAGGCCTCAAACAGTGAAAAAATGTCCTATTTAGACCCCAAACACTGTTTTTCGTTTGAGAAATGTTGTTAAAAAAAGTGACCATTTTTTCGGCGCCGTCCCCCATCCAAATAATACATCAGGGGGTTGCCAGAAGGGGGATGTGCCCCCTTCTTTTTGGGGGGTTTGGAGTGGGGCGGAGTCCCCCTCATCGCCAAGAAAATTTTGGACTTGTGAGGGGCTTAAAATGTCCCCAGGTTGATCATAAGGTAACGTGTAACCAACGCTGAAAAGCCTTTGACTCTATCTCAATCCCTTGAGAAGTTGCAGCACTTTGAAATAAAATTTGATGAAAAAAATCGAGGCAAAAAAGTGATTTTTGGCAATTTTGAGATGTCCCCTCGTTGCCATGGTAACAGGAAATTTAAGACTGAGCATGTCGTTACAAAGGCATTGGTCCAGTCAACATTTGTGCCAAGTTTGATTAGTATTGAAGCATTTGTTATAGTTTCATAGCAGTTTGAACTTGTAAGAGGAGGCTTTTCAGTGAAAATGGCCATTTTTCACAATATGCTCATGGGGGAAAGGGTTAATGACAAAAATATCAAAATTATCTTATGTACTCAAATCTCGCTAAAATGACATTTGTAAAAGTCACAGCATGAATTTCTGTATAAATTCTATATATTTTTGGTTTTAAGCGTACATATTTCTATATATGTTGAACGAAATTTAGAAGCCGACAGAATCACTTAATAGTTTTAAAACTAGCCATGTAACTTGAACAAACCCTGGAAGTTACAATAATAGATACTTGGATATTGTATGATTGACAGAAATCATTCATTTGACATGTTCTTTAACTTTTCAAGAGTTCACTGTGACAACTATTGTGAAAACCTAACCCTCTAACCTGATGCACGTGGGTCAAGTTAGGAAACCATCATTTTATTCTTTATTAGGAGAAAAGTTTTGATTCTGTGACTGCCTAGTGTATTCATTTTGAAGACATTTACAGATTGATGAGTGAAATATTCAAAATGAGGAAATGAGAATTTTGCCTCTGTCTCCCTTTAATTATCCAGAAAATCAGGTTAGAAACCAGTTTACTGTCAGTTTTCCAGGCTGCAGGATAGGTGGATTAAGTGACAATATATGTGCAAAACTGTGTTAAAATTGGCATAGTTGACAAACAATTAAACCAGACACACACCATATTACTTTATTCTATCCTACATATTGAGCCAGAGAATTTTAGAATTTCTATTTGATATGTATGTTAGTATATTAGATCAAATGAGCCGCGTCACGACAAAACCAACATAGTGGGTTTGCGACCAGCATGGATCCAGACCAGCCTGCGCATCTGCACAGTCTGATCAGGATCCATACTGTTCGCTTACCAACTAAGACTATTACAAGTGGAGAAACTGATAGCGTACAGCATGGATCCTGATCAGATCTGCGCAGTCTGGTCTGGATCCATGCTGGTCGCAAACCCACTATGTTGGTTTTGTCATGACACGGCTTAAATGATTACATATTACAGACCGTATGGCTGTGTATTAGGACAGATTCCAGGGACAGATTTATATAGAGACATGCATTCTTATCATGAGGTAAGTAATAATCAACCAGGTTTTGAAAATCCTTGTTATTAGATTTGGAATGGCAGGCTGTTGGTGGGTGTTAAAGAGTTGTTTTATGTATAAGTATAGAACAAGTATTGTAATCAAAGCTGGTATATAGCAAGCTTAAAATGAGACCTCACTAGATTGCTTTTGGGCTGTCTGAGTCAAGGTCAAGGTCACTGTTACTAAAAATAGGGAAATGGTTTCCTGTTTGAAAACCTTGTTTCATGGCATTGCCATATTTCTTGAATTTTAGCATTTTAAATAAAAAAATCTCTGACATAAGTGGACAACTTTTCACATTCAAATAAATGACACATCACGTCCATACAAAGTTAGCATGGTGGAGTAGTTATTGCTAAATCGTCTTGGAGAAAGATAAAATGTCTCTGATGAATATTTTTTTGGTCACAAAATATTTTTTTATTCTATTTTATGAATTTGAATACACAGATGAGTTTCAATAAACAAGGCATCCACTGAATGTTAAATGTTTTCTTTCTATTTTCAGGCCAAAGAGATACCAGGGATAAAAATATTCAGATTTGAGCATTCCTTATTCTTTGTAAACACTGAACACTTTAAAACGCTCATTTTTAAGAAAACTGCTAACCCTAGGAAACTGAAAATTGCTCAGAAGAAAAGAATGTCAAAACTTGAAAGGGAGAAGGCAGAAGCTCATGTATGTACATATATTTTATTTTCCTGAAAGTAATTCAATGGAACATATTACAATTTGGTCATAGCTTCGATCATTTCTCACATTTGTTTTATAAAATTTCATGTGAGATTATGTATGGACTAATGTCTTAGATATTTGGTGCGTAAGTACCTTGTGTGGACCTTCATGTCTGTTTGATGTGTATGGAAAATTGGGCCAAGGCCATTGAGACTTAACGGAAATAACGCTTTTCTTCTAAGTAAGGTAAAATTGCTTTGTCAAAACAACATTCTTGATTATAATGAGAAAAATATCAGTATCATTGTATTTTCTTTTTGCTGGTCCTTTACATGTTATGGATATTGAATCTTACTAATTGAAACTTGAAGAAAAATTGAAGAATTAACATGTGATATCTATTTTCCCTTTAATATTTATTTTCTAGAATGTGTCAATTGTGATAGATAGACAGGATTCTTCAGAAGCTTCTGAAGTCAACGTACTGTCAAAGTCAGGAGATGTCAAGGCCATGGTAGTAGCAGACGACAAACCAAAATGTCCGCCGGGTGTAAATTTTCACACAATCATTCTGGACTGTTCACCCTGGAGTTTTGTTGATTCCATGGGTGTGAAAGTTTTAGCTTCTGTAAGTGTAAAAGGAATATAGAGTGTATTGTAAGAAATACGTCTCAATATAATTGACCCCATGTCAAAACCAACATAATGGGTTTGCGACCAGCATTGATTCAGACCAGCCTGTGCATCTGCGCAGTCTGATCAGAATCCATGCTGTTCGCTACCAGTTTCTCTACTTGTAATAGGGTTTGTAAGCGAACAGCATGGATCCTGATCAGACTGCGTGGATGTGCAGGCTGGTCTTGATCCATGCTGGTCGCAAACGCTCTATGTTGGTTTTGTCTTGACGCGGCTCTTTTTTTCTTTTTTCATCAGTTGTTCTAGTCGTGATTCTTTATGGTAATGCAAAAGTCTAAGAAAGTCTCTCCGCTTGGCTAAAAAAAAACCCTGAGAAACAATTATACATAGTACTTTCATAATTTCAGGCAATATGTGAATACAAGTCCGTGGGAATAAATGTCATCTTGGCAAACTGTAAAAGTAAGTGTTCATTTTAACTGCTGCAGGGCCGGCAAAATCTCAGAAAATTGTACTTGTCCACGGACAAGTAACCTAAGAAATTTACTTGTCCGTACTCAATGTTCACTTGTCCGTATTTATATTTAATATTTACTGCAAATGTCAATAAAAAGAGCAATATGATTATGAACTTTCTTTCAATTTTATTAAACATTCTATGCCATATGTTTAATAATATAATATATTATGATTGTAATATAATATATTTATAAAATGTTAACGGCAGTAGATTAAAGTAGAACGACAGTGATGGACAAATTGTGTATATTTTACTGGAAGGAGCATTGGTCTTTTGCCAGCACTTTTTCAGTTTTCCTTGCACCCAAATTGCTCTAAAATATTATCTTCATTGTTTTGCACTCTGGTATCATTTCTTATTTATTCACTCCTTATTCTATTCATCTATATAATATTCATTTCAATGATTTGAATCCTTTTAAAAAATCATATGTACTCTTGAGTTAGATTTGTCAAATTGATGACATCTGGCTTTTTTTTAACGATATAATTATGATTGCCACAGAATGTAATATCATATACGTACATATATACGCTTGGTTGCAGCGGATGAATTGTGAAAATTTTGACATCATTACCATCGGCGACGATGAAACTGACATGTTTACATTAACACCAGTATTAGACATTCAAAAACAAAGGCATTTTCACAAGAAATCTTTACATAAAATAAATTATAAAATGACTTTGTCCACATAAATTCAAGCAGTCAAATTGCCGATATGAGCGTAAATATTCCCGAATGACCTGGAAAAGCTATACAATGTATTTAAATTTCATTCTACACAGCGGTATTTCAAAGACAATTGTTGCGAGATTGATGCTGTGTCCGCTATCTAAACAATAAATGCGATTGAAAAGACCACAGCTTCCAATTCAATTTTATGGCAGAACCCCGTTGCTACCGAAAATATTTTATTGCAGAGGCTAAGTCGGCAGTCATAAACCAAAACAAACATATACCCTCAATAATTAGTTAATTGCCGCGCGCATGCAGTAACTGCATGACGTAAGGAAAACCCCAAGCCTGGTTGGTCGCTATTTATGTAAACACTTAAAATAGTAACACCCTAATATGCACGGAATGCCCTCATGACAGACACCACACTTCACACGCTAGTTTTCGTATTAAATGTGTGATTTTCCTTCTGATTTAGATCTATTAGAAAAGAACTAGATTTTTTTCTTCAGAATTCCTCTTTTAGCCGCCGAAATTTACTTGTCCACGGACAAGTAAACTGCATAATTTTACTTGCCCGGACCTACAATTTTACGACTCGGGCAACTCGGACAATTGATTTTGCCGGCCCTGTGCTGGATTTTACTGTTGTTTTTTGTGTTTATGTCAGGTCTTTGCCATTATTATGTACAAAAAAAATAGATTCTTCATTCTATGCTTATTGCATTGCATAGTTAGTAACACAATATACTCTTTTACAGAACAGAGACTATATTAAACATAAATATGAAATATCTGTGAAGAAGAAAGATAATAAAAAAGTGTTACTTTGCAACAAATCAAAATATAATATCAAGTGTAGCCTGAACAAGAAAATTAAATATGCTATTATGATGGGTTCAACCTCTTTGTTTTTAAGATGATACAAAAAAGCATAAGGGTTTAATGAAAGTGGATGTATTGGAGCATTTTTAAGACAGCAACCTGCCAGTGTCCAGAGAAATCTGTATTTTTTGTATATTTACTGTATACTTTGCATTTCAACAACAATAGTTACTAGTGTAGAGTTTGTCCAGCTTGAATATCCTTGTAGATTGACCAGCCTCTGTATTGTTGGTTATGTATTGAATTTTAACAATTTTGATATCATAAACCCTTACATTAGGAAAAGTCCATTTAATTCTCTGTGATTGACAATGATATTGAACTTTACAAGAGCTGAGAACAATTGTATCAACTAGAAAGATAAATTGGGAAAAAGAAACTAAATTAGGTATTTTTATCTGTCAAAATTAGATAATTCAACATGAATCATTGATTGTTTCAGGTGGTATAAGGGACATGTTTGAGAAAACAAAGTTTTATGACACAGTTGATCATTCTAACATCTATGTATCTATACATGATGCAGTTCTACATGCCTTACATATAGAATATCCCAACGACGTAGACCAGGTATTTTTTGTTAAACCTTTTCTCTGCCAGAGCTGTAATTGTATATTTATTGTGTATTCGCAACGAATTACAGGAGTTTGTTATAAAAGACAGAAAACGATGCTCCAATATAAGATAAAATTATTATTATCCAACCTCACAAGGATGTAAAACATCAAAAATGTAAAAAGAACAAAATCCATAAATCAGATGACTCATATTTTATACTTACCAATGAGATACATAGACTAGAGGATATTGAACGAGTGTAGTTTAATACTAAATTTATTGAACGAGTTGAATAAAATCATATTATGCGAGCCTCTAGCGAGCATAATATTGTTTTATTCAACAAGTTCAATAAATTTAGTATTGAATCTACACAAATATAATATTCTATTTATCACATATATAAAATAAGAACAGTAAAATGTTAAAATGAGTAATTTTTCAATGACGCGCCTATAGTCTAACATTAGCGTGCTTTAAGCTATGTTTATATATAGTGCAAATGACGTCACGTCAAAGTGTTATTACACTAGTGTAATATCGTTTTTATTAAATGGCTTTATTACACTCCTGCGCCGCGGTTTATGTGATAATGGGTTTTATCAGTGTGATAAAATCCATATCAGCCACAGTATATCACCCACAGTATGGTTGATATAGCTCTGCTAAACTATTCTTTACCTATGTTTTACTTTTTATGATTCTGTTAATTTGTGAATTTACATAAAAATTAATTGGTGTATTTAATTGTTCTAAATGGCATATTTCTCAATTCAAATATCATAATTTCTTTAAAATTGTTTAAAGTTACTCCACAATAATGACTACAAACATGAATTACTTTTGTTTTCACAGTTCCTGTGACTGTTGAAGATCTGACATCTCCTTAATGTTTCATTTTTCTAGTACTTAAATGACAACAGTAGAAAGTTGCTGTTATTATACTTATAAGGCATATAATAAAATCAAAATTTGTTTGTTTTTCGTGAATATTCTAAATATCACACACCAAAGGAAGAAAATATTGAAGACTTCACTTACACTTTGTGCTCCTTGAAATATTGCATTTGTCTCACTTTTCAGGGTGATATATAACATATTCACTCAAAACAAACAAAATTTATATCCTTCATATCATTAATACATTTTGTATCCAGTAAAGACCTGTTTGTTTCATACATGTATATTGTGTAACATATAATTTGACATATGCTTGTAGGTTGAAGACTCGCAAACAGACATGTATAAAGACAACAGAAACACCAGTATGGTTAACTTTACTATCGCTGAAGACTCAGATGAAGAAAAGGCATAAGCTTCATTTACATGGTATAAAATGTATATAACTTTTGTTTAACTAAGCTGAGTACACAGTACTCAAAGGTGAGCTTTTGTGATCACATTATGATTGTTGTCTTGTTGTTATACTTAATTTCTTTAAACAACATTTCCTCCAAAACCATCGTATTAATTTTGATCAAACTTCACAGAAATGATTCCTCTATGTATGTTCTATAAATGATTCAAGTATGATAAAAAAAGAAGTCACATAAACTATGTATAGACTTAGCCCTTGGGTTAGAATTAGCTCTGTCTCATGGGTCACTTTATAGACTTATATAGGAAAGCATGTTTAAAGTCTTCTTGTTTGAAACTACAGTATCCATGGCTTAAACTTTATAAGCATTGTCAAGTGGACCTCTGTAATGTTTTTTTAAAATTAATACACCTGGGGTAAGAAGCCCAGATCTGTATATTTGGCTGGAGACCACTATTAAAGCGGTGTAGATCAGGTCCCTTGGACTAAATACAGCCTAGTCTAGGTAATCACTTAGTTTACATAGAGTTATATTGTAAACAAAACTGAACTTTTCTTTAAAAAAAATTCTCCTAAATAGTAATGCCCAAAGCATGGATATTTGGCAAGTAGCATTGCCCAGTGGTTCTCTACAAAATGTGTATGAATTTTGACAATTGGGCCTGGGATTCAGACGTTTTACATAGACAACAAATTATGTCATAAAACTTTTCTTCAATGAAGCTTCAGTGCACTGAGCTAAGATATTAGTTAAATGCATGTTGCATTTCCAAGTGGCATTGAAGAATTATACATGTAATAGCCATTTCTAAAACCTCAGGTGAGCAATCAAGAGCCCTTGCACTTGTTTTGGACAATCTTGACACTGTAGATGTCAAACTGGCAGATGTTGCATTTTGCCGGTGGAAGAAGACATTCTTTAAACTAGCTGGATAGCTTCCACATAAGAAAGAATTCCAGGGTTTTGAAAAATTGATTGTAAGAGAGAGTTAATTGGAAATCAGCCTCAATGTCCATGGAGGGAACAGACAATGGCAGTAGAGAGAATGAACTATGCCCATGGATAGAATGGACATCGTGATGGAGAGTGTGGTCAACAGGCTGGGCACATCTCCCAATCGGGCTAAATTAGCTCAATCGGGGTAATTTAGCCCGATTGAGCTAAAATCCAATGAATGAAAATGATAAAATGTGTCGGAAATTTATGGAAGCGTATAAAATCGAGTACTCTCCCTTGTCTCGATGTGATCCAGTTTCTACAATAACACATCTGATACATTAAAATATTCTGTACTCGCTTGATCTTATTGCGCAATTTGGTGTAAAAAATACCGAATTTTGAAAATCTGATCAACATATACCCAAATCTGTTATATTAACTCCAATACTGTACAAAATTCTTCGCCAATTCAACGCAGCTTCATCATCGACGCCATCTTGGAAAGATTGATTAAAATCCGTCATGCACGAAACACTTTTATCTATTGTTTTTCATTAATTAACCAAAATATATACAGGGTGTGTTATAAATATTATATATGTGGAAACTGAAATAAAATAGTTCATATTTATTAACGAAAGTGTTAAAATGGTTTGCATAAGCGATGCACTCGACTGAATCTGATACACATTGCTTTCATGAAACACAGTAAAACAGGTCTTACGAGTATCTGACTGAATTATCTAAAATTATGTTATATTATATACATTACATTGAATATTAAAATAAACGCAAATTTCGTGAAAAACGTGTTTTTTTCTTATATATACCCCGTGTGTGTTTGTATGTAGATACTTGAAAGTCGCTGATGTAGATATACAGCCAATAACAGCATTTGGAGCTATAGAGGATATATACAGAATATATCATAATAATAAACGTTTTTGAAGTAAGTTAAGCTTATTAACTTTTTTTCTTTTAAATTTGTCGCAGTATGCTTAATTTATTCGTGAAATGTGTCACAAAAAGTAATATATATTGTATTTTCGTTAGTCCATCCTGTGATATTGAAACTATGTTTTGTGGGTTTTACTTTATTTTTTTAAAATTCTTATTTCGTATAATAGTTTCCTATAACGTATCATATAAACCATCATGGATGGCGCAAACATGTGACTTCTTTTAAAGTATAAATAGTGCGATATTGGGTTATGCTTAAATAAATATGAAAGACCCAAAATTAATTCCAGATTTTATGATAATTATATATCAAGGTATTTAATAAAAAAAATATTTATTTATTAAAAACATTCAAAGAGGCGATTTGACTTACATTTCAATTGACCGTTACTTGTCATATAATATAGTTAAGATTGCGCGTATAAAAATAATTATAATTGTTTTTAGAATTCGTTAAATTAAATTAAAAAATAATATGCAGCGTAATTTTTTGCAGAGAATAATGTCAAAGTGTTACTGCGTGGAACATGCTTCCTTAAGTGAAGGGAAAGCGTGGAAGCTAATAAAGATCGCAAACAAAAAAATAAAAGTTGGGACGTTAACGTTCATGAAAAAACAATCCATTTTACCGGAACGATCTACAGCCATATGCGATATATGTCTACACTATGTAGAAAACACTTTAATGTCAGAACCCCCCAAAAAGAAAAGAAAAGAAACTCACGATCATTTTTTGGATGAATTGAGAAACGATAATGTATCAGAGGAGGTTTTGATAGAAGTAGTAAAACTTATTGGAACCAAACTATCTTCCGATATTTATGAAGACTCGTTAACAATTAGTTCATTATATAAAAGTGATCATTTTAAGGAAGACTTTGAAGTTAAAAGTTGGATTTCCAAGAGAAATAAAGTCCTTACCACTTTTCTATTAGCTACAGCTAATGTTAAGTCATTAGAGGAGAATCATAAAAAAAACTTGTGTATAGCTGGTTCCGTAGACTCACTATTGAAAGCAAGAAATTTGTCAACAATTTCACCGATACATTTCTACAAAAATTTGATATCATACTACATCACTGGTAGTAAATTCATTACACGTCTAAATAATGTTCATGCCCCAGCTGGAAGCTATTCATCGATAATCGAGTGGCTTAATAATATGTCTTGTAACTCCTTGAAATGCACAGACAATGGTGACATTTGTACCTTTTTTGACAACAACCAGGTTGTTGCCAGAAATTGGCGCGTTAACTATAATTATAAAACCAAAGCCAGTGTTGTGACTACCGTAATAAATATCCATCCCTCACTGAGAACAAACATACAAGAAAATAATGACTTAAACCCAACTAACTGGCTTTATAGTAATGAACATGATTTAACAGTAAAAAAAATAAAATCTTGTATTTCTGAACATGTAAGCTTTTTTAACAATATAAGGGACCAATTTATCAAAAATAGATTAGAGAAAGTTCAGAAGGACATGAAGGAAAGAAATGGATGTTTGATGGACCATATCGATTGTAAAATTTCAGGTAAATATATGTTAATAGAGCTTATTATGAATAAAGTAATGAAAGAATTTTTAATTTCAATTTAAACTACCTTCATGCATGTATATGATATATATGATATAATGTTTTTAAGAAATAAATGCTATCTGATATTTCTTCATAAAATATATGAAATTAATAAAGTATGATTTAAATGCGAATAGGTTATACATCAATTATATACCTTCATGAAATTATAATAAAACAAATAATGAAACTGAATTTTTACAAAAGACGGAGTTGATCCAATAACTGAACATGATAAATTTGACAATTACCACTGGGTCCCAAGCCTCCATCCAACAGAATCGCCAAAGGTTGCTGTAGCGGAACCAATAATGTGCAATCCGTGCTCTTACGCTTCTGTGAAAAAAGTGCTACAGGTATGATCAATTATGACATATAACACATAGTTATAATATACCCAACAATTTGATTCTAACATGACATCAAAACAAAAATGTTGCCGTACCGTATATGTAGCTTGATTGAGCCTTATTTGTTTTCCTACTTATTGTGAGCACGTTGCATTTTTAATAGTTACATCAAATGTATAATTGTAAAGTGACATGTCTTAATATAGAATATCAATAGTTATTTATTTAACACAATATATTTCCAAAGTGAATTTAATTTTTGTATGTAACACATATTTTGTTTATTAGAAAATAAGAAAACCACATTCATTAATAATGTTTATATTGCTTTATTATATCAAGGAAATCCAAAGTCAAACCATTACTCAAGGAAGACAATGGAATGTTGTAGGGTGTGACGGATTGCCATATAATTTGGCAACAAGACTAAGTGAACAAAATGAGGAACTTAGAAACCTTTTAATCGTGCCCGGTGCAGGGCATATTGAAATTAATGCTGTTAAGGCAATATTTAAATTGCTTTGGGATGTTTCTTTCAAGGAATTAGCGAAGTTGTTGGGTTATAGAACACCTAGAGCTCTTGTATGTTGTTTCAAATGCACTGACCACCATAAAGCTTGGCAACTTTTAAAAATTTATTTTTTTGGGACCATGGACGAAATATTGAGACAATTTCTATGTGACAGTTATAAAAACAAAAAGCAGCAGTCAATAAATGAATTCTATAACTACATCTCTGAATCCGGCCCAAGCATCCGATTCATGTGTGACTCTCTCTTCAATTACGTGTTCCCAATTTTTTTATACAGATGTGCAATACGAAGAAATAACAGTCGATATATTTTGGCTGGAAGATCAATGTTTATGAGATTATTTTTTGTTACTAACATGACAAATTATCAAGAGTTAATTTTTAAAGACTTGAAAGCACGTGTTTTGGCACCAGCTGAAGTAAAAACTTTTCTCGAAAAAACAGAAAGCTTTTCCGTCAGTGGAAATATAAGTAAAGGTGAGGGTGGGGATTTTGTTTTAGAATCTGTAAATGGTAAAACAAAAAGATGGCTTCCACCTGGTATACCCACAGAGAAACATTGGCTGAAAGTTTGCAGGAACGTAGACACGCTTGACAAGGTAAACAACTTCTTCTTAAAAATCTATTCAATGCAAAATCTGAAGAGTTATCAATCATTTACAATAGAGAGATGCACTTTACAGTAGTTAATTTGTATTAGAACAAAGAATAATTTTCTCTTCAATCAATATTGATAAAATCAAATACATTATAATTTATTCATAGAAACATTTATATTAATTTTTTTTTAAATAGTGCTTAACAAAATAAAATCTCATTTTTGGTTTCGTAGCTGAAACGTCCTTTATTCCTATTTAGATAAAGGAAAGTTTAAATGATGAGTTCAATGTCAAAGATACAAATTCGGACAGCGTGTACCAAAGAGACATTAAGAAAGAAGTACTTGAGTGGCGCGTATTTTTGAGGCAAAGCGGATATTTTGCCATTGGAAACTATGCAAATCCGTATGTTTACAAGTATTATTTAACATATATCCAAATATTATGATGTTTCTGTATTTGTCAATTGTAATTTCAGTATAATTTCGTTTATATTTAATAATCTTAACATCCAATATATGTTCAGAATCTCAATAGCAATTCTTTTTAAAAACTAAAATTCTTTTGAATTTATTCCTAAGCATTAAAATGTTTACATTGTTTATAGGATCAATGTAATCATTACATACCTCAATATATGCAAAATGAAAAACAATTTTTCATAATTTTTCAGTAAACACATATCATTAAGTGGTGAAAGATTAGATGATCAACTTGTTTTGTTTGAGAACAAATGCTTATCAAATTTAGAAGACTATTTAAAGCGTGCATCTGGTGGTGATATACCTAAAAGAAATTTGCGTTTAGAACCAGTGTTTGTTACAATAAATGACAGAGACAAGTTTTTTGATATAAACAGAAAAACAAAGGACCAGATATGTAACATAATACATGAACTTATTGAAGAAATCAAACAGTTAGGGAATGTGAGTGAAGCGTTGGTGTTGGAGGAAGACTGGGCAAAGATAAAAGGTATTAATTACATAGTAAAATAATTCAAGCGACAAAACGTTTCACATAAATTTTTTAATATGCACAGGGCAATAATACTTTACATTTTTCACATCAGACTCTTTTTGATAAACAAATCCTACACAAAGTGCATGGACCCAGTATGAACAGGTTGACACTTCACAATTCAACCAGTTGCATGTTTTCTTTACTTTGCCGCTTTTACCTTTTCCAACATGCTCTTTTGAGCACACCTCGCACAAACTTTCATCATTCACTTTCTTTCGTCTGCGGGTCACGCTTTCTGTCTCTGATATTTCAGATGTATTAACAGCCGGTGGTTCTGGGTACTGTACTTGAGCAGTTGTTGCTTCATTTATAACTGGTGGTACTTCGTTGTTATTTTCAGACTCAAATTGTGTATCTAAGAAGCAAAAAGGATTTATTAAATTTCATAATTTTATAAAATATATCATTGTTTTCCGTGTATAATCTAAATATATATCACAAGAGTGAACAGCATATGCAACATTTTAAATGATTGAAATATATATATACTTTTGATATTAAATTCAAAATATGCAAATACGCTTTTTAAATAACACCTCACTTAATTCTTGTTTAAAAAATTTAAATGATGTTTAGACTATTGTATAATTGTATAATTATGAGTTTACCATTATTGTTAATTTTTTGTCAAGAAAAATTATTTATATGAACAAAGTTACATTCATTTATGATATATTATTTTCATCCACATTCAAATATAGTTCATTTACATCATATTTTGATAATTTATCTTGAAAAAAAAAATGGTTTAAACCAAAAAAAAATTAATTTTCATAATCGGAATATCCAAATGAAATTTTAAATTATAACATTTTCAATTCATGAAAAACATAACATACCTTTTTCCGGATCTTCAGTGCTAAAAGTCCCTTTTTGCCCACTCAAAGTCTCCCATTTGGCCCACCATTTCGTACCAGTGGCACTGCGCATTTCTTTCATCTAAAATTTTTTTTTTATATAATGTAGTATCAAGAAAGGACGACATGTTACAATTCTATAAAGAAGTTGTAGTTGCACACGAAAATGCTTCCTCAGAGAACACAGCATGTGAAGAATATGATACAGATTCAAATGGTAAACTTACTTTTTTTAGGATTGTAGGTTTTCGTTTAGCTATAGCTTTTGATCTTGCTATGCTGTCCTTTATATATGTATTGCTTATTGGACCTGTATGATGTTTTCTCGCTCTACATTGCTGACCTTTGAGATTTTTTCCGGGATTGTTTCCTTTAGTTTGTTTATCCTGAAATGATCAAAATTATAGAATATACAACCTATAAGTAAATTCACGTAAATTTATTTAAAAAAATAATCAATATTTTCACTCTATAATTTCAGACTGTATTGAAAATTCAGAAAATGAAGATGAATAAGTGGTTTTACTTACGGACATGGCGATGTCTTCTATTTGACCTAGCTAGGTTTGACCTCAAGCGAAATACTCGTGCATGGAGGTCACGTGGTATTTTTTTTTTTTAATTTTTGTTAATTTATAATTTATATTAAAAAATACATATAAATTTATAATTTCGTAAAATTAATTTGTTCACACCCCGTATCAATTAATGAAAAACAATAGATTAAAGTGTTTCGTGCATGACGGATTTTAATCAATCTTTCCAAGATGGCGTCGATGATGAAGCTGCGTTGAATTGGCGAAGAATTTTGTACAGTATTGGAGTTAATATAACAGATTTGGGTATATGTTGATCAGATTTTCAAAATTCGGTATTTTTTACACCAAATTGCGCAATAAGATCAAGCGAGTACAGAATATTTTAATGTATCAGATGTGTTATTGTAGAAACTGGATCACATCGAGACAAGGGAGAGTACTCGATTTTATACGCTTCCATAAATTTCCGACACATTTTATCATTTTCATTCATTGGATTTTAGCTCAATCGGGGTAAATTACCCCGATTGAGCTAATTTAGCCCGATTGGGAGATGTGCCCAGCCTGGTCAATGTCATGGAGAATGTGGTCATGGAAAGCATGAGTATTGTCCATTCTCTCCATGGACATTATGCATGATCAGGTATTCAAGGACAGCATGGACAATATCCATTGACTGTAAATTTTGTCCATGGACGGATGTTTCAATGCTACATGGACAATTGACCATGCTAAATCTATGATAAACTATGGACATTCTACAGCAGGGTAATCACTCATCTATAGTGTCTCACCTGTACAACCTTCAATTCATGATTTATCCCTTTATTAGCCTTGTTTATGATGCTCTGTCATGATATACAGTTTTGAATTTACCATATACATCTGTACTAGTTTTTGTTTCATGACCATTATTACCTGTAGTTCCATAGGTCAGAGGTCAAGATCATTGTTCAGTTCAACAAATTTATAGTTCTGATAAAGGTTGAAACAGAATGTCATAATAGTGTTTGTTTGAATTGTCCTTTTAGTAAATTTGTTTTTAGTAAATATTTGAAAGGAAATTTTAAGGTTTTTCCTTACTAAACCTATATATATATCAGTTATAGTTTTAAACTTAATTGAATTGAAAGGGAAGTGAATATTTATTTATTCAAGTTGATGATAAATATATAGTTATTTCTCTTTGTCAAATATAATTAAGATTTATGTAAATAATATGTACATTTAGCTGTCAAATTTAAGAAACAGTTAGATATTTTTCAAATAAATCTTAGAGAATATGTTGTTTGAAATAGTTGGTACTTTAATACATGACTGTGAAAACACCTGAAAGAACTCCTCCCACTATTAATAGTAAGATTTGTCAACCTGCTTTGCTGAATAGGGAGAGTATGGGATAAGCAATCCAGCAGTCACTGGTTCAATCCTTGTGGGAGGGAAATATTCCTCATGACAATTTATATTGTACATGATTGTAATTGTCAATTTCCTCTCACCACTGATTCAAAACTGAGGGATTCACAGACGGACGTACACTTGTTGAAAAATCAATAATTACTGGTTAATCATTCAGGAATCATAGTTAGTAGGATTTACTGCCAAAATATGACCAAGCATTAAAAAAACCCAGAAAAACAAATAATGGCAAGTTTCAAGTGATCCAATTTGTTCCATAAAACTTTTTTTCCTGATGATAGAGAGTTTATTGCTCTAAAACTAAATTTTGCTTATATCTGATTTTGAATTGTAAACAACAAACAGCGAATTTAACAATATTAAGTACATGTTAATAGTAAGTAAACAAAAAATATAGAATTTTAGGCTCTGAAAATTATTTTTAACCCAGAGATATTTGACAGCACTTCCTGTAAATGTATGTTCATTATAATAGAAGATTCTTTTTAGTTACAAATTAACAGCTAGAATGTTAAAAAAATTACTTCTGTGATAAAAAGCTCAATAATTTGTCTAGACTTGACATCATTAATTTTGAAATTTTAGTATAATTTAAGATTAAGATAGGCTTATGGTTGACTTAATATAATAATGACATGTAATGCAGTTACTAGGCAATTTCATTGTAGATAATAAACATATGCCTTATGGTTCTAGTTATGACAGCCTTTTGAAAAGAAGCCTAATTTATTGTTAAGTTGAATGCACATTTACCATTTGCTCTGCGTCATAAATAATGTAAATTCTGAACCTAAATTCTTAATGATACATTTTTATATAAGTGAACAAAATCTGTAATAGATCGCACACAAAGGGTAAAAAATGTACATGTACTTACATATTATTCATAAGAGAGAATTTCTGTAAAAATCTACTTGGACTAGTGAGTGACTACAATTCCTAGTGCTTAGATATTTGGCACTATATCATATATAAGATTTTCAGAAATCAAGCTGTTGTGGTAAAAAATCACCTGCCCAAATTTGGCTCGCTTGCCGTCCTATGCATTTAAAAAATTTGACTTTTTTTCAAGCATTGAATCTCAGGTGAGTGATCTAAGCCATTATGGCCCTTTGTTAACTGTTTATGTCATCTTGTGGTTTGAATAATTGTCTGCATCTGAACTAAAACACATAAATTACAGGATCACAACCGCATGGTTTAATACATGCAATAAATGTTGCTCTTCATTGATTGTTTTTGAAAACAATGTACTCAAGCAACTGTTTATTTCCAAAATCTTATGTTATGTTATAATGTTTGAAAGGTTTATATTTGTGATACCTAAAACTTCATCAAACAATTAATAATAAAAGAGTACATTTAAAAAATTGCATTGCTTGAAAAAGTAAATATGCATGCTTGCATATTTTGAAATTTAATATTAAGATTAAAATGATTGTGGTATGAGGGTTCTGAATTAATACCATGGTACATATTGGTTGATGCTGCTGCTGCACTCTGCTGATATACTGACCTTGTTGTACCATTAACAAATTATGTTCTAGTCAATTTTATGGGCTTTAATGTTGCACAAACACTGTACTGTTCATATGGCAACTTTCCAGCCTTACTGATGGAGGAAGACCTCAGGTGCACCTCAATGCATTATTTTATGAGTTAGAGCAACGGACTTGATGTAAGCTAGCTCGATAGCTTCCACTCATGAAAGAATCCAAAGTCGATGGTTGTATTCGAACCTACAGCAGTGAGGGGCAAGTGGTAGGAAGTCAACAACCTTAACCACTTGGCCATGGACACCCATACCAGGTTGAAGTGTACTGAGTAACTTTCCAGCTTTCTCAAACTTGCATGGTTATGAAAATAATAATTCTAGATCTTATTTCTGTTAGTTTTAACTGGTATGATGACCTTTGAATTCATCAAAATAATGGAATTAATGAAAAATGTATCACTTTTGTTAGTTTTTAAGCAAAGATTATGTTTTGTTAGTTTTTAAGCAAAGATTATGTTTTGTTAGTTTTTAAGCAAAGATTATGTTTTGTTAGTTTTTAAGCAAAGATTATGTTTTGTTAGTTTTTAAGCAAAGATTATGTTTTGTTAGTTTTTAAGCAAAGATTATGTTTTGTTAGTTTTTAAGCAAAGATTATGTTTTGTTAGTTTTTAAGCAAAGATTATGTTTTGTTGGTTTTTAAGCAAAGATTATGTTTTGTTCTTTACAGGATGATATTCATCTGGAATGTTGCAGAAAACATTATGCTGGATTACAAAATGGATTAAGTTAAAAAGAAATGGAAATGGGTTTAAGATATTATACATATACAAGCATGTTTATGACCTGCTTTATTATCAAAGACTCTTATATATCAATATATCATATATAAAAGCATATACTGTGTGAGTCCAAATGCTTTCGATGAGAGATATAAAAAATCAAATTATTTCCAGATATAATTTAACAAACATAACTAATTATTTGAGTCGCGTCACAACAAAACCAACATAATGCATTTGCGACCCACATGGATCCAGATCAGCTTGTGCATCCATGCAGTCTGATCAGGATCCATGCTGTTCGCTTACCAACTCTATTACAAGTAGAGAAACTGATAGCGAACAGCATGGATCCTGATCAGACTGCGTGGTTGGCAGGCTGGTCTGGATCCATGCTGGTCGCAAACGCACTATGTTGGTTTTGTTGTGACGCGGCTCAAATTTTGTTATCTTGAAAAAAAACAACAAACCTTTGCTAATGAGGTTAGTAATGTGGTTATTTAAGACAGCAATGTTATTTTAGATTAATTTTAGACATTTCTTGTTGTTAAGATTGCAATTGATTTTTTTTGTATGTTAATGGTTAATTCAAAGTGTCTTACTTATTTTTGTGAATTTTTTTCCCAATAAATTTGCTTTGAGACTTTTTAGCATGTTTCAATCTTCCAATGTTCTTTTTTATTTATTTTTTTCTAAGATTTTCTATTGTGGTATTATAGGAGAAGAGTTTTTTCAATGGTGTTTGCTAATGGTATTGACATATTTGTCTTAATAAATCAAAAGATATATTGAATGTATCTATAATGATAAGAGACATTTGGTATGTGTTTATTTTCTACTTTCAATGGCAACTTTTATGGGCTTTTAAATGATTAATACGAGTATAGTATACACACATTACTGTTTTGTGTAAATGAATATTAAGGGACCTAGAAAGAATTTTTTTTTATATCAATAATAATACACTCGTATATTTTGTTTGTGAACAATGATTATAGTACTTTGTTGTTACTAATTATATTGTTTTTATACACATGCAAATTTGTTGATGTTTTCTACGATATAATTGTCACTGCCTGGTTTACAGTGTTTAATTATAATGCCATGTGATACATGGATTTTTTACAATTTGTTTGTTTGTTTTTCATAGTAGAAATTGCATTTAGTGTTATTCAGTGTTATCTTGAAGGGTATTAGGTGCTATTCTTTCTGTTCACTTTCAGTCTCTTTTTAAATCCTGAATTTTTTTTTAATTGTCACGAAAATAGTTTCATTTTCTGGTTTGGTTATATAAGATAAACATATTTTGCCTATGACTTATTCCATGCATATGTCTCTGGCATACATTGTCAAGAGGATTGTCTTGTAATTTTTAAATTGTGTCAGCTTACAGGTAATATTTTCCAGAATTAGCAGTAAATTTTCTAGCTTTAGTTCACACACATACACGCACACATAGTCGATAAACAAAACCACTGTAGCCTGTTTTAAAAGCCTATACAATTCATTGTGTACCCTGTCTTGCGATTACAAACACTGTCTTGCGATTACAAACACATGTTACTACCGACCACTGTACATTTCTTGGGACCCTTTATATTTTAACATCAACAACAGGCAGTAGACTTGTTTATGTACTGTAACATAGTTGTTTTGATGAGTTAATCTGTGCATTCTTCAAACATTCTTTGACACTTTGTAGAACATGAACAAAACATTTAATGTCAACAACAGTGAGTGGTTTGGGATATAATTAAAAGTAAGGAATCGTTGAAGGTGAAGTTGACACAATCTGTGTAAAATTCAATTATTTTGACTTTTTAGCTCACCTGTCATAAAATGAGGGTGAGCCTTTGTGATCGCTTTTCGTCCGCTGTCAGGCGTTTGATGTCCGTCCGTAAACTTTTACTTTGAACAACATCTCATAAACTGCTAAGCCGATTTAATCCAAACTTCTTAGGAATTTTCCGTTGGTGGTCACCTTTAAAAATTGTTCAAAGAATTTAATTCATGCAGAACTCTGGTTGCCATGGCAACCAAAAACTTAAAATATCTTCTTTTTTTTAAAACTAAAAGAGCTAGAGCTAAGATATTTGGCAATTACTAGAGATTGTCTACCAAGTTTGTTCAAATAAAAACCTGGGGTTAAAATATGGTTCGCCACTAGGGGGCATTGATTTTACTTATTTGTCTATACTAAAAGCTTAAAAATCTCTTAATCAAACCCAAAGAGCTAGAGCTTAGATATTAAGCATGAAAAATCTTTTTGCAAGTGTCTACCAAGTTTTTTTTTAAATTGGCCCCGTCCATGGGGTCATTGATTTTTCTTTTATGTACACATCTTTTGGAACTGTTGTTTTCCCTTATATCAGTAATGTTGTTACACATGCATTTTTTCAGATGCAAATATGAACTTTGTAATATCAGTTTTAGATTAAGATTTTATATCCGTTTTGTTTATAGATCACAATATTACTTGTTCCTTGTCATGGAGAGTTTTATATTCAGGTGAGCAATTTCAGGGCCATCATGGCCCTCTTGTTATGCGTTTTTTTGAGTGTGATTCAAAACATTTCTATCTACGTTTAATCAAAAAGTAAAATACTTTTAAAATTGATTTACAGACAGAAATAAATTGAACTTAATTTATTGTCTGTGAAGTATGCATTTAGAATCTCAGTTACTAGTTGTATTTCATTGTGATTATATTTTCTGATATTCTATATTTGACATTTATTTAGAAACTTTGTTTTTATATTACATGTAAAATTATGTTTGAACATTGTTTTTTTTTAAGATTATAAAGCTTTAAACAAGTTCTACAAAATAAGCATGTAGCATGCTTTATATATCTTACATATGTTATTGATACATTTTGTACTTGTTATGTATTTATGAATAATTAATGTATTTTGTACATATCTGACAAAAATGTGCATGAAATTTGGAAAAATAAAATAAATTGTTGCTTTATATTTTTTATATTCATACTCCACGGATATCTTTTAATAAAAAATAATGGTGATATTTATTTGTTTTCTTGTTTTGAGTTTCATCTTAAGGGAAAACATTTTCATTTATGGTATGACTAAAAATGGATTTTTTTCTTAATCTCCTGTCTTGAAATGAGGTGAAAGGGTCCATGTAAAATCATGGGTATATTTTATATGATACACTAATTATAGGTTAAATAAATGACCCATGCTGATGCATAAGCAACACCAATTTTTAGCTCACCTGTCACAAAGTGACAGGGTGAGATTTTGTGATCGCTTTTCATCCGGCGTCTGTCCGTCCGTCCGGCGTCCGTCCGTAAACTTTTACTTTAAATGACATCTCCTCATACACCACTAAGCCAATTTTATCCAAACTTCACAGGAATGTTCCTTTGGTGGTCACCTTTAAAAATTGTTCAAAGAATTTAATTCCATGCAGAACTCTGGTTGCCGAAAGAAAAAACTTAAATATCTTCTCTTAAAAAACCCCAAGAGCTAGAGCTTAGATATTTGGAATGAAACATCTTCTAATGAGTGTCTACCAAGTTTGTTCAAATAAAAGCCCTTGGGTCAAAATTGGCCCTGCCCCAGGGGATCTTTGATTTTCCCTATATGCATACAGTAAAAACTTAAAATATCTTCTTTTACAGAACCCAAATAGCTAGAGCTAAGATATTTAGCATGAAACATCTTCTAGTGAGTGTCTACCAAGTTTGTTCAAATAAAAGCCCAGGGGTCAAAATTGGCCCCGCCCCAGGGGGTCTTTGATTTTCCCTATATGCATAAAGTAAAAACTTAAAAAATCTTCTTTTAAAGAACCCAAAGAGCTAGAGCTAAGATATTTAGCATGAAACATCTTCTAATGAGTGTCTACCAAGACTGTTCAAATAAAAGCCCTGGGGTCAAAATTGGCCCCGCCCCGGGGGTCGTTGAATTTCCTTCTATGTAAATAGCAAAAACTTAAAAAATCTTCTTTTAAAGAACTCAAAGAGCTAGAGCTAAGATATTTAGCATGAAACATGTTCTAATTGGTGTCTACCAAGTTTGTTCAAATAAAAGCCCTGGGGTCAAAATTGGCCCCGCCCCAGGGGTGTCATTGGTTTTAACTATATGTGTATAGTAAAAACTTAAAAAATCTTCTTTTAAAGAACTCAAAGAGCTAGAGCTAAGATATTTAGCATGAAACATGTTCTAATTGGTGTCTACCAAGTTTGTTCAAATAAAAGCCCTGGGGTCAAAATTGGCCCCGCCCCAGGGGTGTCATTGGTTTTAACTATATGTGTATAGTAAAAACTTAAAAAATCTTCTTTTAAAAAAAACCAATGAGCTAGAACTTAGATGTTTAACATGAAACACCTTCTTATGGGTGTCTACCAAGTTTGTTCAAATAAAAGCCCTTGGGTTAAAATTGGCCCTGCCGGGGGGGGGGGGGAGCGGAAGGAGGGGGGTAGATTGTTGTTTTTCATTATATGTGTGAAGTAAAAACTTAACATCGTGAAACATCTTCTAATGGGTGTCTTCCAAATTTGTTTAAATAAAAGCCCTGGGGTTTAAACTGGCCCCGCTCCGGGTGCCTTTATACAGGTGAGCGACCTCAGGGCCATCATGGCCCTCTTGTTTAATTAAAAAATTTAAAACTCTTTCCCACTTTAACGACTATACCCTAAGCTCAGTAGGTTGATCTGTTGCATAAACCGTTGTGCAGTCTGTCATCGGGCTGTAATTTTGCTGTCACATATTTGACAAGATTTCTATATAAAACACATGTACACTACATGACTCGGAGCTGATATATTTGCCATATGGACTAATACAAATGTTTTTCAACTTTTGCTACAGAAGAAGTGGCGGCGTGGCCGATTGATTAACGCGTCGGACTAGTAGTCTAAGAATTGCTGGCCACGTGGTTTCTATCGGAGACAACAAAGCGAATGGCTTAGACATTTGTTTATAGCATAATCTTGTTGTCATTCTCCAAAACATAGATCATTGCCCTGGAGTATTTAGCACTGTTTTTTTCGAGATGTGTGGTTCTCTACAAAATTGTTATATATTCTGCCATCTGGCAATAATTACCCCGTTTCTTATTTCACAAGAACATTTCCGTTATGAAGCATCTGTGAATCTTTGTGTGAAACTATATACATAGCTTGGAGCACATAGATTTATTTTTGGCCTGAAAAAATTATATATATATCATTCCAAATAGTTCGGCAATACCCTACCATGATGCCACTTTATTACTTTGACTTATATCGAGAATTACAATTCAAATGGTTCTGATACTGTATGTATTTGATATGCAGCGTAACCTTTTCGCCATCAAGAGCATGTCCTTAAGTTTTAAATTGTCCTTCCTTAATTGACACAGGCTTTTATAGGATAATATATTTGAATCTTTCGTTAAATTGTCTGTCCGAGATCATTTAGCTTTGCCTTGTGGTTTTTAAAGGCAATGTTTTTTGTTTTGAGTATTAGATGCTGGCATGAGTGAATTGACTTGTAAAAAGTCATTTATAGTCACATTTGACACCTTACAAAATAAAACGATATCCCTCGAAAAAAATGTTTTACCGCCCCCAAAACTAAGCTTTTTGTTTTTTGGAATTACTTTTTAGGCGTTGTCAAACCGGGGAAAAAATCAAAAACCGTTAAGGTCGTATCAAAGTATGCCGAGCAAGAAAAGATATAGATATGAGTAAACGTGGTGATTTATAAAAGAAAAAAATAAGAAAACTAAATATTTTGAATTTGTTGTCAAATGGCTATATACTTTCGATATAGGAAATACGTTTAGGGGCTTTAACGATATTTACTCGTATTTCCTGACAAATATGTGTTAAGTGTATCTGTTTTAAAAAGTTATTTTTGCAATAAAAATACTCAATAAGATGTCTAGACTTGGTTGTTTAGTTTTGATATCTTTAATTTTAAAATTATTGTATGGTATTTAAAGTTGACATGGGCTTATAGCAGACTTAGCATTATTATGAAATGAATTGCATTATGACGAAGATTATAAGTTAACAGCACCGATTAAAATATGTTTGTTTTTGGACATATTGATATAAAGTGCTAGCGTCACATTGCTTCGGTATTGAGGATTAGAAAGGCCTATTGACTGAGTAGTGAAGTTTATTGAACTTTTTCCTTTTGCTTTTCACGGTATTTAATATAATTTCCAGACTTGACTAATGGAAAACGGAATCCCTCTGTAAAGTAAGCACACAACGTTCTCATTTAAGCTGTCCCTAGCACTGGCTTACGGCTGTTGTCATGAAATTTACAACCTCTGCGTTATTTTCAAGGAGGGTATTTAATCGTAATATCGCGGAATATAAGCAAACGTTGTTTTTTTTAAAAAGACGTACATCTTCTAAACATTATAAAATTTGAACCAATGAAATCTCATAAAAAATGACAAAAACAGCCCGGATTATTGACGCAATTTCGCCACCACCGCTTGGGGCGCTTTGACGTCATAGTTACGCTGTTCATTTATAAAATACTGCCGCGGAAGTGAACCTAATCATCAACCTAATTGTCAAATTTTGGTCGAAAAGTAGCGAAGTACCTTAAATCAAGGTGCCAGAAAAATGCATTAATTTGGTATTTCATATGCTTCGGAAATCAAGATATCAGTGCCAAAGATCATTTTACCTAATATTACCTGATTAGGAAATTGGCACCGTCCAAGAACACTTAAGTAATTCGATGAAGACTTGAGAAGAATTATAGCAAGTGTTTATGGTTATACTTATTGCATTTCGGAGACACGAAATCTAAAACAACCAAGTCTTAAAATTTACGAGCAATTTTTTTTATTTAATTCTGAAATGTTTCATGTATACGAGATTAATTGTCTGCGTCTGTGCTTCACGTTATAAATTATTCTCAAGTCAGCCTAATTTAATAAAACAGATGTTCCTAATTGTAATGGACCGGATTACTTTGTAATTTTTAAAATTATATAATTTATTTTGATTTATGAAAGATTAATTTTTTTCACAGGATGATATTAAACCGAAATGCTGCATACAATCTTATACAGAGTTATCAACATAT